CCAAGGGCACTTGGATGTCCACCAAAAGGGGTGCCTCCAAACTAGTGAAAGGAACAGTTCGAGGGACCTTCAACCGGGTCAAGTCAATTCGCAATTTTGCTTCGGATTTCAAGGAGGCCTTGAAGACCACAGATGCCGATGATTGGGCCACGGCCTTGGGTGGTAGCCTATTGGACAGTAGCGACGAGGAGGACAATGCTGCTGACACGCGGCGGCGTCATGATGTTGAAATGGCAACATCAAGCGGCCGTCGTCGAAAGGCGCGATTTTACGATGAAAGAGAAGAGGAAAAGGAGGAGATTGAACCCATCGCGGAAGAGCACACAGAAACAAGTCGGGGAGACGCAGAAGAATTAGCAAATCTTTGGAGCTTGAAATCTGTTGCGTAACCGTTCCTCGCTACCGGTATCCTATGCTCATACCCACTAGCGCGTGACTATCGGCATTATGGGGTTGAGTCGGGACGCTCCTACCAATAAGCACTCTTATTAGTTCTCCTCCTTGTAGCTAGCGATATCGTCACAGGAAACAGCTCGTTGCAGCTGTTACACAGCTCTCATCTACCACGAGATAGAATACAGTAGGCTAGGAACGACCCCAAGAGAACGGACAGAAAGACGATAAGCAATAATTCGAGGCGTGGAAAACAAGCAAATTTTCGATTTCAAAAGAGAATTCATCAGGAAACATCTCATGGAGCTGAGAAACAGAAAACAAGCAAATTTTCGATTTCAAAAGAGAATTCATCAGGAAACATCTCATGGAGCTGAGAAAAAGTGGTTGCCTTCCTTGGAACAGCCTCTTCTTCGTCACTATCTTCCTCCTTCCACATCTTCACCCATGGATAAAACAACGCCATCTAGCTAGTTTCTGAGCCCATACTTTAGAACAATTGGAACCTCACCCAGGAAGCCAGCACCTATTGCAAATTATCTTAGGATTTTCCCTTAGGAATCCACCTCGTCATGGGCAAGGCGTTCCCTGCCGTCAAATGAAAGGAGACTGCTTCTTTTCAGCCGCACCAGCACTGCATTTCTTCTTTGATTTATTTCCCATATGGCTGTCCAATCCACCTGGGAGGTCTGGAGAGACGAAGCTCCGTGGAAGGGGGGGCGTGTTGGTTGGCCAAAGGCAATGACAGCGTGGAGTGGTTGGCTTCTCCGGCGAAGCTTTGACGGGTTGTTGTTAAAATACTAGTATGCTCCGAAATGGCCGAAGCACCCTTGCAGGCTGGAAAAGGATGGTAAAAAGTGCAGCACAAGTATGCCTCCTCCGAAGGAGATTTGGCCTTCGTTGGATCTTTCGCATTTTTAAATTTCGTCAACCAATTCATTTTGGCCTTTCCCCTCAAAGACTGACGCATCGACCATGGCTTTCAACAACAGCGGCAACAACAACAACGAGCTAGATCAGCTCCTGATGCTCATGCAAAAGCACAAACACCAGCACGGCCGTTTGGTGATCCGAGCATCCCGTGGACAGTCCAATGATGCTCTCGATGATGCTATTCATTTCGCCAAGAATTTTTTGTTAGATGTGACGGAGCTGCGAGGCGTTCCAACTCCGGCGTCGTCTCAGCCATCACCTCTTGCGGCATCGTTTCAGCCGTCACCGCTTCCGGCGTCGTCTCAGCCATCACCTCCTCGTCAACAAGAACAGACCAGTCGTCGCAATCGTCAGAAGCATCAATGCAAGCAAGAGCCGCAGGATGTCATTGTTTTGGACATGGAGCGCGACGAGGAGCGTCATTGTTCCGAGGAAGAGAACCGCCTTGATGACAAACAGGCATCATCGACTGCCGTCGCGCCACCAAAAGACGACACAAGCAACGGCGGTGACAACAATGACAAGCCTCTCGCGAAGCGCCGTCGCACGGCGGATATCAAATTTGATGACTTTTTGGCTGACAACAACAACCTCCGCCATTCCAAAGGCGTGACCACGGCGGTCATCAATGACCATTTGAGAGATCTTGGCTTGAAAGCTCCGTTGAGCAAATTTGGAATCTCACGAGATGGAGAGAATGATGTGGTGATCCTTCAGTTCAAGAACGAGCGGACCAGCTTGCCATTCCTGGATGAAAAAACTGGACAGCTCACAATTCTCTGGCATATCAAGCAAGGGAGCAGGGGCAAGGGAATGATTGATTCGTTGGTCGACCCCATCTCTGAAGCCATTCCAGTCTTTTGGTACCAGAACCGATACAAACAGCCCAGTGCAAACAGGGGCCAAGACCGGTACTATGTTGGCCATTTTGAGTGTGAAAAGATTGCCGAACTGGATCCCAATACACACTCGCACTTGGGTGAACCCTGCCGGGCTCTTGTCACGTTGACAATGACGAAATTTGATGAGGAATTGAGGCAAAAGTTGGATACGCTTTCCGATGTGCAGCACTTGTTGAATGGGCCAACCAAAAAAGGCGGAAAAGCTTCTGCTGAGAAAGAGTAAGCAAATCAGCTCGTGTTGATTATTTTTGATGAGGCTCCTGCAAAGAGGGAGGTTCTTATTTAGTCAGCTATATCAACTGCGACATTTTCACCCAAAACAAGGACGACCCAAGTGGGGCTCCACCATCCTTTGAATATTATACAGAACAAATACGGTAATACAAGATACATTTATTGACTTCAGCATCTCTGTCGTACCCTCTGCCCATACCGCTACTGCAACGTTGCACCAAGAATGCTCCAACCCAGCAGTTCTATGTCGATATGTACCGGTAGCCTGGCAATGTGAAGTCTACTAGCTAGCATGAATAGAGGAAGGGGCAGCATCGTTGCGACTTGACAGGTTAGTCCATGCATATTGGTATGTTGGCACTAATGTTGGGCTTGGCGGCGGACCTGTGTACCGGTAGGCCCAGGTGTTGCCCCTGGAGTGTTGGGCCAGAAGTTCGCCCATGCATGGAGTTCGCTCATGCATGGGTAGCGCTGGGAGACGGACCCGAGCACGTACCGTATGTCTACAATGTTGGCCGAGCACAGGGGCCAGGTGTTGGATCAGGAGTGAGCCTAAAAGTGTTCTACCTGGTCGTTGAACTAGAGCAAGAGACACCTCCAAGTATCACCAAAGTATAACTACACTTTCTGTTTCGCTAAAATACACGTCACATTGCTGGCAACCACCGGCTGGTACCTCCCGTACCGGTATCTTTCTGCCTTTTTTATAAACTCAAACTGACCAAGTATCCCATTCCCATACATACTTGACAAAGGGAAAGTCTCATGAAGTGTCTCCACTACAGTACCATCTTCTAACCGCCGGCTAAATTTGGCTCTTGGAGGCTACTAGTAGTTCGTCTTGTTGAACCCGAACCGAAAGTTGATTTTGTATCGCAGCAAAATCCAAATGGCTGTTGCAACCAGCACAACTGCTGTCACCCAGAACGCTTTATCATTCCCAGAAGAGTGGATTGTTATTGTTGTTGCTGCCAGGATGACGCTTTCCAGAGGAACCACGATCACACGAAATACCTGAAAGAGAGCCCAGGTCGTAATCTGCACCATCATGCTCTGCGTGTCCAACCAACGCGCCCATTGGAATGCTTTGCGGACAAATGTGGGCATGCCATCAACATTGTTATTATTTGGTTGGCACCACTGTGATCCACGGCCCCATACCAAACAAAAGATGCGAAAGGGAGCCACACATGTGTGGGCAATGTCATGATGGGAGACTTTTGGTAATAAAAGCGAGGATAGTAGGCCATTGGTATTGCGAAACGTGGCGTACATGCCACTGTCCTCATCATCGACATGACGATCCTGTAGTGTGGTGTAGGTGGAAGCCAGGATCCATCCTTGGCCAACCACAATGGTTCCGTCTGCCGTGAGGGGTGCATAAATTCCTTGTTTCTGTGCCGTGGTGATGGCAAGTACTGGGGCTGGCTTTTCTGTCGCTTGGCTCCACAACGAGTCGCCCAATTGGACGGTTGCTGCTGGTACGGGAAATTTCTTGCCCTGAACATAAATCAGATGATCCCCAGTAATCTCCAATATCGATACATTGTCGTTTTGTTGGTGTTGTTGTTCTGTAGCACTATCTCCTGCTTTCACGTGAATTTGCAGAAATTCCACAGTCTCGTTCGGATCATTGTGTCCAAAGGCATAAATGGGCTGGTACCTGGACTTTCCCGTCCACACCCAATCTCCCACTTGCAAGTCCTTCATTGGCTTCATCCCATTGCCTTTCACGGGCACGACCATGTCCCCCGAGAAACAATTGGGCGGCGCAGGCCCCCATTTACAGCCTTGTGCCAAACAGGGTGTTTCACTGCTCATTTCATCGCACTGCTTGGCAACACCTTGACAACATCCACTTTCGGAGCATTCTCCCGCAAACGACCAACTGCAACCCGAAATATCGGAACACGAGCCTCCATCGTTGTAGTAGAAACTACACACGTAATTGGTCCCGTGGCAGCTGTCTCCTTGTTGCAACTGTCGACGGAGATGATTTTCGGCCGTGGCTGTTGGGAGCAACAACAGCAAGGCAATAGTGGCGAGTAGTAACACTCTTGTTTGACAAGTAGAGGAGGGAAACATTGCTGTTGGAGTGATGTTGACGATGGCTAGAACAGTAACGTTCCTTGTGGCTTGTGGCGATGATTCTAGTAGGGTCGTCCAAGCAACAAAAAAGCGTTGAAAGAGCTGTTGAAAGTGAAAGGGGAGACCGAATCTTTTTGTTTCTTCAAGATTTACGAAAGATCGCTTAGGAATGTTCTTTGGAGAAGATAGCAAGAATGATTTTAAGCCTTACAGTCGTACGTACCCTTGGAGAGCAAAAGAGTGGAATCGAAGGAACTTTTAATTAAGCAAGTGAGAACCTTGTGAGAAAGCCTAGATTGATAGAGCCTTTTCACTCTTGGGCCGTAAAGCGTGATGTACCGGTGTACCAATTCCAAACGAAAAAATCTGCAGAACGACTTTGAGCTCAGGGTACGACTGTAAACAGCTCGGCAAAAACTACCAGTATTGCTTCTTCATCACTACTAGCCATCATCCGCACCATGGTCAAAGAGGACGAAGAGATTACCGTGCCGCCTCTAGTAGTAGGGTTGGATGTGGAAGAGGAAATTGTGTTGGGGACGGCGTACCAGAAGGAGGATGGTGATGTTTTTGATGAAGAACCAGAAATTGTGGTGGAACCGGAAGATGATGAATTGATCTCCATTAGTCAGTTGGTGTGCCAGGAAGATGAAATTGTGGTCATGCCACCCATCGAGCAGTCCTACCCACTTCAGCCAGAACCGAGGCAGTCGGTTCGGAGAGATCGTACGGACGAAAAGCCACCAACAGACGACGCCTCCTTGTTGGAAGCCAAGCGCCGCATCGCCTTTCCCGCCTCCAAACCTCCGCAAACCAACACGAAAGCCACCGCCACCGCCAACACCGCCCAAAATACTACTACGCAGGCAGAACCAGCCTCTCTGGCCAGAGGATCCTCCGATCCAGACAGAAACCTTGCCGTGGCGCTGATCGAACAGGATGTCGAGGCTCAAACCAAGCGCTCTTCCGTAGACAAGAACGACCAGAATCCTCTGGTAGTATTTGTCACGCAAAAGCGAGCTGTTCCTGATCCAAAACTCACCACAGCATCACAGCATGGTCTCTCGAGACATTCAAGGAGATCAACACTCACTGGTGGCTGTGAGAATCAATCATCCCGAAACAATGGCAGTACTACTGCCCAAGAACCCAATGGTACAGCAGCCATCGCACGACCTTCTGCCCTCACTCGCTCGGAACGACGACAAAGCGTGGAAGAAAAATTTCGACTACGGGATGGAACAACACACAGTACATCAACAATGAACAGATCATCCTTCCACAATGCCAGTTGCCAGTCCGTCCAGCAGCAGCAGATTGGCAGCAGTCTTCCTCGACCCAATCCACTCTCACGTGCCGAGCGACGGCAAAGCGTCGAGGAAAAGTTTCAACTGCACAACGGACGCAATGGTCCAACAACGACGCATGCGGTATCCTCGGTCCGCGGTTCTGCTAGCCAGCAACGAAATAGTACAATCTCGAGACCTTCCGTACTGTCACGTTCGGAACGACGGCAGAGTCTGGAAGGGAAATTTCGCGAACGAACCGAAATTGTACAAACTGCAGGACAGCGTCAAAGCAGCCAACGGGGGCGTAGTCGATCGCTCTTGGCCAGTTTCCCTGGTGCCTATAATTATTCGGTGGAACCAGGCAACACCACCACTTTGCCCGAGGAGCATCGCAACAGCAAGTTTTACAAGTACAGGACACGATCCGTGCAGAGACTAATGGACGAACAGGATCGAGCCGAGATGGGTGGCGGGCGTTCCAGGCGACATTCCGAGGGTGCCGTCGTCACCACTACTGATTTGTTGGCAACATTGGAACAGCCCGAATGGATTGCGGAAACAACAAACACAACTCGCGTCGGGTGTGTCCATGTGCATGGACCGGGATACGTGGAGGGATCGGAAGCCACGTACGATAATATTGACGAGGAAGCTTCACGAGTGGAAGCAAATCCTAGTACTGGTACCACCGGCGCCATCCTTGCTCCAGGTCAACGGCCCAGTTGTCGTAACCTGGCCGTGGCGCGGGCAGTGTCCGGCCAGAGTACCCTGGCATTGCCCATGGCCGATGAAATCACAGTGGATCGCCAGACGCCCGCCCGAAAGCGAAACAATATGCAACGTATGATTGTCAGAGGAGGTCTTGTCTTGACGCTCTTTGTCATTTTGCTCGTGATCATCATCATCGCAATTGTCACTCGAAACAATCGCAAAGCACATGCAACACAAACAGTAGGAAATACGACATCTACATCGGAAACATCCTCGAAGCTGGACCCTATACAAGAACATTTGTGGTCGCTACTCCCCGACTCTACACGACAAAGCATTGCCTCATCACAAGAGTCGCCACAGGCAAAGGCACTCGACTTTCTGCAGAATGATCCTGGTCTGACAAACTTCACAGCTGCCCGAATCAGACAAAGGTTTGCTTTGGCTGCTTTCTACTACTCCACTGGAGGCCCTGAACATTGGGATATCACAGATGGCTGGCTGAGTTACAAAGTTCACGAATGCCAGTGGTGGTCGCGAGGTTCACCGTCTATTCCAGGAGAAACCTATGATGCCGCCACTGCAGAAACTTTCCAGCAATACTCCAGTCCCTGTGGCGCCACATACAATAAAAATCCCGGCTCTGTGGATGACTTCACTGTCAACAACATTGGCACCTACGAACACTTGTGGCAATGGGGCAACGGCCTCCATGGATCCCTGCCACCAGAGCTCTTTTGGCTATCCTCGTTGAAAAGCATCTCAATAGCCCCGCAACTACTCGAGTTGAATGCCACAACACTGACAGACAAAAGAGACCGCTTTCTCTCCGGATCCCTGCCTTCCGAAATCGGCGACTGCACAAGCCTCGAGGTGCTTTTGCTGGCCAACAATTTCATCAATGGCACACTGCCACCACAGCTGTCTCAACTTACCAGCCTCTCTTATCTACGGCTCACTCAGAATGATTTGTCGGGTTCAATCCCAGAGGATCTTGAATTGTTGAAGTCTATGAGAACTCTCGATTTGTTCTGGAATCGACTCTCAGGGAGTGTCCCGTGGTCTGGGATACTTGCCATGAACAAGCTGGTGACACTTCATCTCGGACGAAACTCGCTGGATGGTAGGGCCCTTCCAGATAGCATTGGTCAACTCACCAATCTGCAGTCGCTCTGGTTGTTTTCTAATGATCTCACTGGACGCATTCCTGCATCCATTGGGAATCTGAAGATGCTGAGATCTCTTCTGTTGGGTGAAAATAAAGTTGGTGGAAGTATCCCACCTCAAATTGGCAACTTGGTAAACTTGAGTTTGATCCGGCTGGAGGAAAATCAGATAACAGGGAGCGTTCCTGACTCCATTCAACACTTGACAAATCTGCAGCGGCTGATGCTATATCGCAACCTCCTATCAGGGACAGTTCCAAGCCAAATTGGGATGTTGAAACAATTATATGATTTCCAGTGGTTCTCCAATTCATTGACTGGCAAGATTCCTTCGGAGATAGGTCTCTGTTCCAGCTTGGCTGCCATTTGGATTTTCCGAAACCACTTCACAGGATCACTGCCAACTTCTATTGGTATGCTTGCAAAGATGCTGAACATTGATGTTGCCAGCAATTCGTTTGATGGACGGTTGCCCTCTGAGCTAGCCTTGCTGACAGAACTGAAGGAAAACCTTTCTTTGGGAAGCAATTCTTTCTCAGGTTGGCTGCCCACAGAGATCTTTCGTTTAACTGACTTGGCTAAGATATCCATTGACAGCAATCTCATCTCAGGAACCATTCCATCTGAAGCGGGGAAGCTGCAGGGCCTGACTCAATTATCGATGAGTAAAAATGCTTTTACGGGCAGTGTTCCTTCAGAGCTTGGCCAGATGACTGGACTTCGGTTTTTCGACCTGGGTGACAACCCACAGCTGACAGGGACTCTGCCTCATCAGCTTCTCAACCTTCTAACAAGTCCCAACAGTACTATACGTCGATTTGACATGTGTGGTACAGAAGTATCACATCCCGTTGAAAACGAGCCACAGTTGTGTCAGTTGGATTCTGTCTGCTTGCCAGGATGCTAAGGTGCCATCTAAGGTGTAATATAAGGAGCCTATCCACTATGATTTTCCTGGGACTCAACTCAGGGGATTCCACTTGCCACTTTTGAGGCAGGCGCACAAGTGCATCTAAGCAAGCAAGAGAAAGAATGCATCAAGGAGGTTGGATAGCAGAGCTGCCTTGGGCGTGTGGCGACTTTCCAAGGACGGCAACAGTTCTTGAAGCTGCACTTCAAGATGTCAAAGTTACTGTAAAGGTAGCCGACGTAGGCACCGGGTTGTTGGAAGACCCATTCAGTCTGGTGGACCTGCGAGACTCCTGCGAGCAACCAAACGTGAACCAGGGGACGGAAAAGCGTTCACGAACACTTCTGTAACAATATTACTGCATGCAGCGCAGATCAGCGGCAATCTGCGTTGAACTTGCATTACCATGCCAAGAGCTTTCCGGAGGGTGAGGCAGTTTATCATCAGGCCTGGAGATTGTGATTGCCACGTGGGACATGAAGTATCTTTAGTAGTGCTTTGAGAGTAGTTCTCTCTACTCTAGAACTTGCCGTTATTGTTTTTCCATTCACTTTTAGGTGGAACAGACTCGATCGTGTCCCAATGCTCTGTTATTTTTCCTTCAGAGACTCGGTAGAGATCATAAAAGCTTGTGTGAACATCATTGAGTGTACCCTCAGAGACCACTAGACAGAAGCTTCCCTCTGTCAAAACACGGTGGATTCTAGTATATTTGACTTTTCCACCGTCTAACCACTGTGTAATGCCTTCGGAACCACCAACAGCCGGGATGTACGGACTGTATTGTGTAAAACTGTCGCTCGAAACAAAATCGCCAATCTTGTCGAGATTGCCATCAACAAAGACAATCTGTGCAAAGTCCCGTACAAACTTCCGATTGGCTTCTGTTTTATCCAGATCACATGCTTGCTTTGGGCCGTCAACCATTTCCAAGCCCAACTCATTCTTCGGCTGGCGGGGTTGAATGTTGTCCCAATGCTCAACAGCCTGGTTTCCTTCAAACCGAAACACCTCAAATCCAATCCGACGCGTGGAGAAGTCGTACTCTGTGTGACCGAATACGAAATCACCATCCTGGAATGCTCGTACAAGGTTCACCTTGGGATTGGATTTGGAAATTCGTTTGAAGAGCTGGGCGAGTCCTTCTCCTCCTTCACGTGTCTGAGGATTATGCTGAATATACTTCTCTTCGTTCACAACTGCGGCAGATTCAGGGTCTCCCGTTTCAATACCCTTGAGAAGCTTACGAACCAAGTCTTTACGATTGGTAGTACTCGTACTCATACTAAGTCCAGTGGTCAGAAGATGATGGGAAGGCGTTTTGTGGGAATACACGTGGTGGATTGATCGAAAAGCAAATCTTGTCGGAAGTTGTAGCACTGTTACTAGTACCGTATGCTGAAAACAGAAATTTTCATTTAAAAAAGTCTTCGGCGATGCTTTGAGCGTCTTCAGGCCAAAGACACTCGAGACGCTCTTTCCTGCTTCTAGTAGCTTACTTCTCAAGATACGCTGCTCTGGTTCAGCAGGTTGCTCTCGGTCTCTTCTTCGCTTGGGGTTTTGTATCCTTTCTTTTCTTTCGTTGGATGCGTCGGAGGTGGATCCTTGAATCCCGCGAACGAAGTCACGAGTCGAGTCGCACAAAAACGTTAACTCTTTGGATGCCGGCCATGGATGAGCAAGCTCATTTGCCTTGGGCTTCTTAGCTACCGGTAGGGCCACTTTCCACGCACTCAACTAGACTAGGAGCACCCGAGTATGAGAATCTGTGTGAGTTTAGATAGTGTCTGCTCTAGCTAGAATGGTGCCGAATGTTCAATTTTTAAGAATTATGTGTCTCTTCGTAGTTCCAAATAGATTCCACCATCGACGATCTCATACATGTACAACTCTCCTCTTTCTGAGCGAGATCCAACTACCAGAATAGGAGTGGAAGTGCTGTGAACTCTAAGCTGCCTGGGCCATGCGCCAGCTCTTGCACTTGCCAACAGCCTTGAGCTCGAGTTTGGAAATGGAACTCTCCTTCTCCATACCGGTACTCGTAGATGTTATCACGGACTGATCCTTTTTGTTGGGGGCAGATGACCTGTCTCTGGGTTCTTCGAAGCCGAGCTTTAGTCGGCCTTCGAGCTTGCAACCACTTCCCAAAGTGATAAAGTTTAAGCGGTCGAGACGACGAAGCTGTCGATCAGGAAAGCTTCGGCGGGCATGCAAGACCGCAGCATTGTTACACAGCAGGATCTCGTTTCGTTGCAGTTTGTATAGGGCATGGTTGCTTTGACTCTTGATGAATGCATCCATTTCCATGACACCAGCGTGTGCATCTGGGTGAACGGCCTGGTTCATCTTGTCTACAATAATGTCCCGCCTCCACGTGATGCAGATTCGTCCGGTATCCTCATTGCGGCGGAAGATCGCCTTTGTAGCAGTTTCTTGGCCTCGCTGGAATGCTACGGCGTCAGTACGGAACAAAGCCGCCAACTGGTGTTAGTAGAAGTTGCTTTTTAATATCTCTTATTTTGCAATTGTGAGCACAAAGGCTCTTATCTATTTTCTAGTCTCCTCATGTTTGGGGGTGCAGGTTTGACAGTCCCACCTCTCCTTACTTCTCCTTCAGGGATGTTCAGGGATATTCTCAGAGTGTCTTGGACCTTGTCCCCATCATTGGGGCTGGAAGTGGGACCCCTTGGGCATCTGCCTCTGGGATTGCATCACCACTTTCTACTACTCCCCTTGATGCGGTTCCAGTGGTCTTCTTCTTGGTAATTTTTTCGGCGTCACTTTCCTTACCATACAGTGGCTCTCTGAGCAGCCTGTAATAGTCTTCTGGTCCTTTGGCTTTGGTGTTAATATCAGCTAGATTCCACTTGCTTCCAATGTGTGCCATCTTGGTGATTCCCATAGCCATAGCTTCTCTGCACTTGTGCCAGGCAACTGCCTGGTGTTTCTTCTTGAGGGTGCCAGATGGCAACTGCATGTTGTGCACTACTGACATATTGTCACATAACACTGCTGCAGGCTTAGTAACCTTGATTCCCATAAATCTAAGCTTGGCTCTCATAGCTAATACTGCTTCCACTCCAATTCTGCTTGCCACAAGCTCAGAACCATATGTAGATGCCTCCACAGTGTTCTGTTTCTTGGAGTAGCTGCTGATAACTGTCTTGCCTAAGAGCATGACATAACCAGTCTGACTATGCCTTGTCACAGTGTTACTGGCATGGCTAGCATCGATGAATAGAGTGATTTGTAGCTCTTGGTCAATCAAAGGGGGGCATGTAGTGTCATCCACATCTTCAATGGAATCAGGGTAGAGGCCGGCCCAGTCATTTTTCGTGAACCCAAAATCATTGTAGCATGGGTTCTCTGGGTTAAACTGGATCCTAGCCTTGGGTGACTCTTCAAATAACCAAAAATCCTCATCATTCTTTGCACATGACCCTCTCTGGGCATGCTGGCATATCTGGCCAGTGTATTGGTGGCATATTGGATGTCAAATCTCCCTAAGGTCACGGCCCATTGGGCACATCCCACTAGCATTTGGTACTTTGTGATTTCTTCTCCAGCAATGAGGTCAGTGTTGTCTTCCTCAGGATGGTCATCAGGTGCCATGGGTGACCCATATTGCTTCAGGGTAGTACCATAGAGTTTTTCAATTCTGTCACAGACACCACGGATGTAGGTCTTTGCAGACCATTCCCAATAGCCAGAATCCTTGTTGAATCCAATGTCTGCTCCACTGTAATACTCTGGCTCTCCAACTCCCTTGAGTTCATAGTTGTATACATCAGTGAGTGGTCCAATGATATCTTCAGGATTTCTGCTGAACACCAGCAAGTCATCTACAATGACTGCCACATATTCATAGTGGTCTCCACGCTCTCTCATCCATAAGTCATAGTCAGCTCTTGATGGCTTGAAACCCATTCCTCTTAAGGATTCTGAAAGCTTCTGGTGCCACATAGCTCCGGACAGTTTGAGGCCATAAAGGGCTCTGACAATGATGACCTTGATACCATGAAGCTCTCCAAATTCTGAGCCAGGAACACAGTAGATCTTCTCAATTGTAAATGATTGGATATATGCAGATCCAATATCAGCTGCAATCACCCTTAGGGCAGATAGGACAGCAATTAGGAAACATATTCTCACAGTTTCCAGATCAACCACTCCTGAGTATAGATCGAATTCAATATCCAATGTCTTGTGACCACCTGCCACGCATCTTGCCCTGAACCTTCCATCAAATTTTACACTGAACGTCCATAGTAATGGGATTTCTTGGTACTCAATGGTGATTTCAGATGGGTCCTCAGGTATGCGAAAGCACTCATAGACATCTCTTAACAGCTTGACTTCTTTGCTGATAGCATCACTCCACTTGGTATTTCCATTGATTTTGTCAAACATCAGAGCTTCATGGACAGTTCTGGGAACTCTCACACCAAACTGATATTTGATGACCTTGCCTAACCTCTTCTTCATTAGATGCACTTGTCTGAGGGCACGCTTGAGTTTCTTGGGGGTCTTTGTTGGTTTATGAGCCCATTTCCACTTAGCTAGGTGGGTGATACCTCTCTCTCTGGCATATGCAGCCAGAGTGATGGGATCATCTGCCTTCATAGTTTCCATGGGAACCCAGGAAGGCTCATCACTAACCCAATTGACCAGCACATCAATTCTCCCCTTTCTCTTGGGATCCTTTGACCATCTGTGGTCCTTTATGGAGTCATACTCAAAGTATTCAGCATTCTCTTCATTTGGCTTGTTCATCATGCTGATCAGGAGGTTGTAGTCAATGGCATCTTGTTTTCATCACTGTATTCAACCCTGTAGTGTTCTTCATCAATTTGATCCACAACTCTGCCTCTGATTCGAGTCTCTCTGCCAGACCTGGTGACATATTTGTTCCATACAAACTTGTCAATGAGATCTTCTGCTGAGAACTCTTTGGGGTGTTCTTGATTTCAGGTTGCCATTATCATTGATTTCTTCCTCCCCTGCCTCATAAATGACAATGGAAATATAGGATCATCTCTTCTTTCTTGATCAGCTTTCTTTTCAGCCTCAAGTAAATCTTGAAAGGCAACATTAGGCCGGATGTCATTGGTAGATCTGACCATACTCCTGACAATTAGTTGCTTAGTATCCTGGGTGAGGATCAAATAGCACATAGTGTCACCATAATTGAGTGCTCGTCCCATCCAGCGACCCAATTTTTCATTTCCTCCTTTGCTGGGGAAACCATGGTCTGGATCCTTGTAATATACAAGTTCCCAGAATTGAAATCTGAGTAAGCCAGATATGTCTGGAGTATTTCCATCTCTGAATTCCTTGGGGGTCCTGTATCCCAGTTTCTCTCGGGCTGTGTGGTTTCTCAAATCTGCAACATGACAGGCAGCCCTAAACCAGGATTCAGGTTCACATCCAGTAGAAATGAACAGCTTCTCAAGTTTTTCTTTCATATCACCAATGTCCCTTTCAGCTGGATTTTGGTGTGGGTGATGTGGCTCAGTGAACAAGTCCTTAACCCAATACCTTCTTAAATAGTCATTCCATAGTTCAGATGTTTGCATTTTAGAGTTGTCTCTTAGCAATGATGGTGGTACACCTTCATCTCTGAATAACTCTAACAATGCATCAGGTCCATCTGTTTCTTTCTTTAATCCATATGTGTGGGACATCAGTGATTTGGTCCCATGGAAATATTGGGCACAGTTGTATCCTTCGTATGAGGTGGCAGTGGAGAACCATGTGTCAGTGGCATATGTTTCATCAAAACGGCGCCTTTGGAGTATTGGGTTCCTGCTTTTCTGATGGTCTCTCATAGGAACTCGATGGTTGATCTCCCCATAGCATGTTGTATGGTTGGCTGTTTCCACAGCTGCCTTGTCATCTGGATGGAGGAAATATTTCTTGATTATATCAGTGGTCGGTTTGGCTGGGGTAGTTTGCTTCAGGTTGTTCTGGAGCTGAGCTTGATTCTCATCAAAATGGTCCAACATATTGTCATAGTCTTGTTCAGTGACTGGGTCATCATTTTGCAGTTCTGGATGCCAGGGTTTGCTATCTGTCAGTTCAACTGTATTGCATGTTTGTAACTCAGTTTGGGTTGGACGCCTAATCTTCATTGCCATCAAACCTCCCCTTAATTCCAGGGGTATCACATATTCTTGTTTCCCAACATAGGAAGTGCCACCATGTTTTCTTGGTTTATCATCAATGAAGGTTTCATAGCTCCTAGCTTGGATGTTGGACAGAAGAGAGTTAGCATTGTCCAAAACAGTAGCTTCATTCACTCGGAGTAAGATAGTTTCTCCTGATGGTAAATCTGTTGCAGTTACTCCACCACTGATCATCACTCCTTCCCGAATTGCTCCTGTACCTTCGTCCCATCCAGCAACATTGACAGTTCTGCCAGATGGTGTATCAATGATCCAGGCCTTTCCACCAATGCTGCAAGTATCAGCTCCACTGTCAGTATACATATCAGAGTATATATCATCCTTTGTCTTTGAGAGCTTAGCAAATAGCTTAGCTGCAGTCCATGGGTCATAGTACTTGGTGGTTGTCATATTGTTGTTGCGAACACTGCTGGTAATATGATCTTGTTTGGTCTGCCCAATAGCCCATAGGATGAGATCTTTCATAAGGGGAGTACTTGCTTCATGGTACAAATAGTTGTCTGTAACATACTTGGCCAGTATGTGTGTATAAACCAGCTTTGCTGCCTTTACAGACATCCACTCATCATCCTTGGTAGTAAGATGTTGGATGACCACTTGTAAATCACTCTTGGTAGGGTCACTGAGATCACAGCAGACGGGGTAAATGGCCTTGATCTTGTGGACATACTCCTCTTGAGTGCTAATAGCATCTGTATCTGTCTGATGCATCATATTTGCTCTCCTTGGATTGGTGACATCTAATGCCCAGATAATGAGGCTGCGTATGGACTTATTTGGGGCTTCCTCATATCTGTAGTTCTTGGTGACATAGTTGGCCAACAGAATTTTGTGCCTGTTCTTGGCCCATGACACTGGAATGTTGTTGATGGCATTGGTTCTCAGATCTTGGATTTGGACATACAAGGACTCCCCATGCAAGAGGCGGTATGGTATTGTATCTATTTGGATCACCCTAAGTGTGGGAGTGTCCTCATCTTCAGAGGAATCAGAGACGATGTTGCCAGTTGCATCAGGTACACGCCTCATCATATTGGACTTCCTGTTTTTGCCTGGGGTTCTCCAGATTGACTGGGGCTTATCTTCTGCAGGTGATTCTTATTGATCCGCAAATGAGACTGACTTTGAATCTTCTTGTTGTTCTTGATGGTCATGGTCTGATTGGTCTGATGTATTCATGTTGTTTGATTGGCGATCAGCTGTAGAATACTGTTGGCCATAGTCAATCCTTCCTTTTTCCTTCTTCATTTCCATGATCCACTTCCTGTTAGCTGGTGACATATCATTCCAGACTTGCTCTGAGAATCCACTGGGATTTGTACCACTGGTATCCCCTTTGAAATTGCTTTGGTTGGAATTCTGGCTGTTACTGTTGGTATTGTGATTGTTATTCCTTCGATTGTTGGATTTCCTGGTGGTGCTCCTGGAATTGGCCTTACCCAAGGCTATGGCTTTGGTTCGAAGCTTGTCCACTGCAGTGTCATAGTCAATGCTGGTACAGCTATCCTTGACAGCTTCATAAGCCCTGTCTTTGATGCCTTCCAGGAACAAGGTCTTTTGAATTGCAGGAGGGACTTTAATGCCAGCATTGTCGAGCTCCAGGCATTTTTCAACAAATAGGTTATGGTAGGAATCAAAACCTCCATGACTTTCTGGATGCAGAAAATGTTTGGTTAGGTCTCCAATCAGTGATGTGATACGACTTTCCTTATCTCCCCCAAAGTCATAATAGTCACACATATCTTTCCACACAAGAGCACCATCCATGGTTGCCAGGTGTGCATCTACCTTTGAGGCTGCATTTCCCTTGGCTAGTTTCTTGGATAGGATCGAGTAGAATTCTTGATTGCGGGTCTTGTAAAGTGGATCCGATATTGTCTTGGCTGTGTAGCCGGGTATATCAGTGAGTTTTGTTACACTGAGTAAGCTAGTCAACTGTAGGAGTCCCATTGTTGAAGTGACTTCTCTCTTGAATGGTTTCCAGTTTTTCTGGTTGCCATCGAAAGTTGGGAAATCAGATACGGACACCTTGACTAGGTTCTTGCTTTTGGTAGTAGTACTCATTGTCCCAGCATTAGTAGTGGTAGTTGTAGTCTGGACTGTAGGGCTAGGAGTTGTCACTGGTGCTGGTGCTGGTGCAGTCGCTGGTGCTGGTGCTGGCGCTGTTCCTGTTGCTGGTGTTGGAGTGTTGTGGTTGTGGTTGCGGTGTTGGAGTTGCTTTCTTTTCAGTGAAACAGAAAGTATCCCATATATCTTCAGTGAAATCCTGTTTCCAACCATCAATAGTTTTCGGGAGGTCATTACCTTCATCCTTGATAGACTGCATCCATCTTTTGAATCTCATAAATTCACCAAGATCGACCTTGGTCAAGACATTTTTGTCCACGAGCTCGGCCAAAATATCTGCTCCCGACACAGCATGGGCAGGTTGAGCTGCATATAAGTATGTAGATGCTGACCCTGCCTGCCCTTACCGTGTCGGGAGCAGGTTTATTGGTGGTGATAGCCTTCATCTTAGCAAGCCACTTTTTGCAACCTCCACCGTGGAACCCGAACGCTAAAGCTAAGGGTAAATGTGCTACTTTCTACGAAGACTTAAGGCTGTCACACCATGACATCATGAGATGCAAATGCTCACATTTTCTTGAGTATCGAAACACATCGGTTGTTGCAACCAACGGATCGTGTGGGTATAGGAGCGATGGCACTTTTCTGTTGAATCGAAAGGTGTTTAGATAGAAGAAAATGTATAATAGCACTATCGAACTGTTTCGGCCATGGCGTCTTTGTCTTCTCTTGTCGCTTGTAGTGCTAGCGGCGGCGCCGCCACCAGGCGCACTAGTCGCAAACGCCATGGGAGTGATGCGGATGTTCCCATCCAAAAGAAGTATCCTTTCAAATCCATCCGCCGAATAGCCTACTGCACTGAATGGCCATTGGATAGGGAATATTGTTGCTTGCAGCGGTTGCGTGTTTTACATTGACTCCAATCCATCATCCAAGAAGGATGGTACTCGCAGCACCACCCACACAGGGGACAAGTTCGCATGCAGACAGCCTTGGAAACACTGTCTTCCTGATGACGACTACGTTCCTGAAAAGTTCAACATGAGCGACGGCCGACTGGTATAAGAAACTGGATGTTTATTTGAAGAGCCATTTCTATTTGAATGGTAACCACAATCGCAATAGCCAAACACCAACCTCTGCTACCCATGCAACAACCAAGCGGGCACTGGAGAAGAAAACGCCGGAAACTTTGGAACTGGAAGCAATCTCACCGGATAATGGTGATGAAAATTTGGACAATCGAAAAAGGAAGAAAGCAAAGGAAGAAATCCTGGTTGGATCTGTGGACATCAACAGCCAAGGAAGCCCTTTCTCCATCCAAGAGGCTCCTCATACGCACACAGTCATTCCCAAGTGTCAACTGGAGAGACTCCGGAACGTGGAAGGCCAGATGAAACGTCTACAGAAAGGCTTCACATATCAGTTGCTTCAAGGTGGATCTACTATTATGCGATCTCTGATTGCAGTTGCACTTGCCAGCTGTCCAGCATTACCATTTTTTGACGCAACATCTAAAAGCGCATAATGGGGTCTCGCGAAAACAGCGAAGGTCTGGAAGGTACCGACACGACATGCGTCCCTAGGCGATTGGTGACGTCATTGCATCCCGGGATTTGGATGGTGTTTGTTGTGGAAATGTACGGGTTCTCCATTGGGGTGGCAGTATGCACCGTTTTGGAACCCTGCATGCATCCTAAATTCCCAACCCCATAGGTACCGACCAATTTTGTGGTCCCGTTTTGACCCCTATGCCATAACAATGAACATGGAAACTACATACTGAATCCGGTACAGAGCGTTTGGGGGTTAGCTTTTTGTAACCACACTCACATTTTGTAAGGTCGTGTAGACTTGACTAAGGTATTACAGTTCCTATATACGGGCTAGCGTCGGCAATTACTACTAGCTGCTACTACTACTAGTTGTATCAGTGAGTTATTGGTATTGCGACTACTGTAAAGCTTGGTTTGAAAGCAAGAGGGCACTAAGTGCTCACACCAACCAATCTCGGAGTTGCATTGCAGCAGGCAGATTATCACTTGGCATTGGGCAAAGAAGCAAGAAGTACTGTAACTAGCGAGAAAAAGCCAGGACTATGACTACTGCAGGGCTTGTGCCACTGACACTGGAATACCCGCTAAAGCACCACGTCAAGTTAGAAGATCTTCAGGAGAGGAGAGAGGCACATCGAGTCAAACGCCAGCCATTCCACAAGACATGGTGGAGGAAAATCAAATTGTTGGGCTATGCAGATGTGTGAGTATTGTTCCGGAAAGCAGGAGGACAATAGGGCAGTGCGACCAGGGGGGGTCCGTGACATGTGTGTACGAGTCGCTGGTGAACTTCATAGTGCGAGGACCAGAAGGAACCGGCGCGCTACGAGCAGGAGTATACCTCTGAGAACCGGACGGTCGAAGAACAAGAGGAGAGAGCAGGAACGGAGCGCAGGTCACAATGGGACGAAGGGACGAGCGCTGAAGGAAGCCCCGATGGAGACGGCCCTGACCAGAACATGGCCCCGCAGGGCGGTGCGATACTAGAAGGTGTGCGGAGCCCGCAAAGACGGTGATCGGACGTGCGCGGGCCGAAGAGGACTTTCCCTTAGCGAGTATACCCCCTCTCTACGCTTTGCCCCGTAGCAGACCCTCGAACATCGTCAGCGGTTTAAGGACTAACACCGAACGTGCGGAGCAATATACAAGAATTTGAATCCTGGCGAAAGGCAAATGGGAGAAGACAAGGACCAAACGGGACTACAAGGAGCCAAAGCGAGATCATTTTGAGCCGAGAGAGGGAGAACAGTCATCTTAACGACTTGTAGTACAAAGGAGAACGGACAAAACAGTATCGTGGCTACTAAAGTTAGAACTATGCAGAAGAAGCTGTGGTCGAATAGGGAGGATTATCTTGCTCACATGGGTGTACTGATGATCACCTGGCATAGAGACTTCTGCCACCAGAACTGCACCGATCACAGACCAAAAACATTTACGACCTGGAGAAAAGGACACATCGCGCAAAGACTCGTGCGAGAGCCCGTTATGTCAGCCATGGATAGTAATGAATGTACCTTGTCATCATACTGTTATGCAGAGCTGCCACGAATGATACCAAGAACCAAGAGGTCGAGTAGAAGGCTGGTGTGTGCATGCCTCCCAAAGACTTGCGAAGGAGATCCCTGTGGTAAAAGGACTATTGTATTGACCTGATTTAGGTCCCTACCAATTGTCAGGGCATACTAAGAGTATAACACAAGATTCCTGCACACTTCATTGTTTGACAATTATTGATCCCATAACCGGAAGGTTCGAGATTGAAGAGGATTTAGCTAACCCATAGGTCAGCAGCCGAAGGTAGCCGAAAATCGATGTCCATAGAACCAAACGTGTAGCACGACCTCATGAGGATACCTCCCCATGGCCTGTAGTGGTTGATCAAGTTAGGAGAGGTGAGTTCCACCCGCTGCATGACAGAGGTCTTCCATATCATTTCCACGTGCCCTCTCGCGTGAGTTCCTGACTTCGTCGCAAGTTTATCACTACGCGTAACCCTTAAGCCAACTCTATGGTCGGGCTTGCTCATCAAACCATACGTTACTTGATCGCTGTTCAAACATCAAATATGCTCAAGCGAGCTCCGGATATTGGATGAGGGAGGGTCCTCAGGGTTCCCGCTTTTGAGTTAGAATGCACCCCGCGAATTCAAACCTGGCGTTGTAAAACCCGTCGTTTGCGCCAGGTAGTGTTTCGAAATCTGGAAGTGTGTTGCATTGGTCATGGTTTCTCATTCCTTTTGGGAATTTGTCGATCAGGGTAGCTCGTGAAACGCTCGGTCTCTATCTTTCCTCTTTCACTCATCAACTCTTTGCATCAATAATTCAACGGTTCTATTCCTCGCTAGATACTCTCATGCCGGAAGGTTGGTGTTGCAGCATGCTTCCTTTTGCGTCCCATCAAATTCCACCTTACGGTCTGTGGTTGGTATATTTTTGGGTTCTCTGTACTCCTTACTCGATTACGGGATGTCATGCGCCGTTAAGTGCTCGCCATATGGCAGAGAAAGTACCGACTCATGCAACAGTCTCTCCTATCTGAACCCAGGCGAGCGTGGGTGGACGATCTAACAACCCACATCTGGAGGCAAATCGGGGTCCAAGGCGTGGGCTCGGCTTTCTCTTCTATACTCGATACTTCTGCGGATACCTGCACGTGCCCCTTCTTTTGTTCAGTGATAGGGAACCCCCTAATATATCCTCTGCTACACCACCCCCATACTGGCTTTATGGCTGCAACTTGAGCGTGACCTGCCCTCAGACGTCACTATTTTTGAGTCAATCTCTTCCTTACCTCATCCTGAGGGCATGCTCTTATGCCGCGCGCCATCACAATCCCTCCCACGTCTGGGTGGACATTTTCGAGCAATCAAAGCGATTCTTTATCCGATTCATGTGCGTACCGTCCTTACCCTGATCGACTCTCTTGGAAGTTGCCTGGTTGGTCAGTATTACGCTTGGTTGTGCCAAGTCTTACCAGTTTAGTTCAGCTCCGGCACCAGATTCGCACATCGTCGAGCAACTGTAATATGTCATTCATATTCCAGTAATTCAGGCCTTTGTACTCCCATAGCTATCCTTCCGTATAGGTAAAACTTCTCTTGAACCTTAATGTTCCGCTCTACTGTGGTTTCCAATAAATGCGCGATAAGGTAGATCGCCACTCGTAGCTGCGCATATGCCTGGCATATAGCAAACTCCAAGAACCCTCTGCCTGTCGTTGTGGATGTGAGAGCTACCTTTATAGTCCATTCTTTCCTGTGTGGCCCATTCAAGAGATCTCTCCCAAGAGACATAAGCCACATCCCCATCAGTCGATTTCAATACCCCATAACCCAATGATTAACAACGTTAGCCTTACTCATGGTAGGCGAAAGATAGATTTGGTCTGTGATCCAGCAATTTACAATTAGTGAAGTCAGCCAGTTCTAAGCTTAACGTTAACCCTAGAGAGTTTCCGCCGCGAAGGCGCCATATGAGCCATGGCTACACTTCACTTAAACCCGGAATTTGTGATCCCGCGATGACTGTTGGCTACCTTGCAATATGCTACATGACCCACGCCTGATTCCTTACCGCGAAATAGGTGGTTTCAAGCTGCCGTAGGATTTGGTTACCATCAAATCCAAACCCTTACACCTCCCCCAACATACCAGGCACGTTCCTAGCCTAACCTAGGCCACTAATTTCTGGATAATACGTAACGATTTCTACTCTACATCACCATTCAGAATTCTTAATTACGCTATTGGACGACCTCACAGGATGTGTACACAGGACACTGTGGACGCCCTCTCACCCTACCAAAATCTGCGTTCCAAATCGGTGGTCAAAGTGTCCTCCGATGGGAGCGCGATATCGCTGCGGCACACCATCCCTGGGGTATTCACTAATTTCCAGAAGGTAGACAACCGTTGTGCCCATTACACACCTCTCCGCCCACCGGCTCCCCAAATGCATCCCCACATACGAACCTCCTCACTCTAAATCTCCCAGTCAAACACCCACCCTACCGTTATCACCCTCGGATTCCATATTACATAAAAATCGGCCGCATATTTGATCATCCAATAAGTTTCCCTGCGTAGAGAGTGAAAGTCGAGACAGCTAACCAACCACATTTCTCGCTGGTGAGTTCGCATATGCCGGACGGCATTGGTGAAGGATATTACCCCTGTATATGTGGACATCTGTGAGTGGGAGAGCAGGTTCCTTCCGCTTCTTTCAAGAATCGATTCATCCTCGGCACGAGCTCATCGGTCCCTATCCCTAGTAGGTCTACACAACCGCCCATTACATATAAGATTGTGGATGCGTCAATAGTAATGCCTTGGACCAACGTCTGCGGCCCAGTGCTAGCACAAATCCCGTTGGTCACCATCAAGGGAGTCCCGCATATTCATATTATGTCTGAGTACTCACCTCTATCAAGCCGATCGTGGTGAATACTTCTTCTGGTGGGAAGCCTTTCTGTAGCGTTTTTCTACTTCTGGTCCGCGATCCGCTGATTTGGAAGTCTATCTCTAACTCTGAGATCCCATCATTCTTGTGGGGCGCATACTTTTGGGGATCCCAGCGCTGTGATCGGGGTATAGGTTACTGTTAGGGATTGCCGACTCAGTTTGCAGGACTGGCGCAGAATATAATAGCTGTCTTGCTGTTGACGGGGATTCGGTCTTCCTTTGAGACCTGTCCAAACCCAAAGAGTCCAATCCATGGTGTGATTCTCTTGTGCCTTCTCCGGATGCTTCTCTCTTACTGGCTTTTATGCGCGACATCCTAGTATACGACAAATGTTTAAACATTTGAGACTGAGCACATCGACGGGCATATGGAAGACCACACAGACCACGAGCTGAACCCCCTTGAAGCTCTCAATGGGCGCATGGACACCAAAGCCAAAGAGTACTGGACAGCCATTGTCAATGCGAAACCCACATCAGGAGTCTTTCCCTCGCGCCGCATTCTTACCTTCTCCCAGCGCACCTCGCCGGTATGGAGGAATGGTTGGCACATGGTGTGTTGGCGAACGAGCAGTATTAGGTGACTTTTAAGCATAATTGCAAAAATTGGATGGATTTAACCAATTAAACACAAACCAGAGAGAAACTTGACATTCATCAGGCCTACCGCCATTTCCAGAGAATCAAAATTGCGTTGACCGTCATTTTGCTTTCTTCTTCCCTCGCCAGTCCGGCTCGTTCCGGAGAGACTTAATGTGTTTGACATATCTTTCTTTCTCAGACCAACATCCCTTTGCCGTCGTCCATCTAGCAGGAGGCTGTCCATCTGAAACAGCATGTTTTCCAGCCTAAGAGTTGATGCTGGTATGAAGTGGTCGCTAGCGGAACTATAGTCCCCTCGTGATGTGAGGTGGAGACTTGCTACCCTTGTGGGTCTATGCGACCAATTCCCTTCTGTGTGTGGATGTGGATTGGAGTCAAAATGTAAAACACACAACGACTGCAAGCAACAATATCCTATCTCTAATAGGCCCATACTCCGGTCCTGCTCCGGATAGAGCCTTCGAGGACCGCTTCCGGCGGATGCGGCTTCTATTACCCCTCCAAACGACATAGTGACATAAATCTTCTATGGGATGGGAAATCGAGATCCGACATTTCACTTCCCTCACTTCCACGCTGTTGCTTGGCGGAGCACCACTAAGTGACGAGCCTATCTTATGTCCTACAAATGTGCTAGTGCGGGCCGTCGAGGCGGACTTCTGGACTCAATTGTATCTAGCGACGCGACATCAACGTGCTAGAAGTCTGAGCAGCTCATGCTATTGAGAGGAGCTTCACAACGCCATGGCCGAAACAGTTCGATAGTGCTATTATACATTTTCTTCTATCTAAACACCTTTCGATTCAACAGAAAAGTGCCATCGCTCCTATACCCACACGATCCGTTGGTTGCAACAACCGATGTGTTTCGATACTCAAGAAAATGTGAGAGTTTGCATCTCATGATGTCATGGTGTGACAGCCTTAAGTCTTCGTAGAAAGTAGCACATTTACCCTTAGCTTTAGCGTTCGGGTTCCACGGTGGAGGTTGCAAAAAGTGGCTTGCTAAGATGAAGGCTATCACCACCAATAAACCTGCTCCCGACACGGTAAGGGCAGGCAGGGTCAGCATCTACATACTTATATGCAGCTCAACCTGCCCATGCTGTGTCGGGAGCAGATATTTTGGCCGAGCTCGTGGACAAAAATGTCTTGACCAAGGTCGATCTTGGTGAATTTATGAGATTCAAAAGATGGATGCAGTCTATCAAGGATGAAGGTAATGACCTCCAGAAAACTATTGATGGTTGGAAACAGGACTTCACTGAAGATATATGGGATACTTTCTGTTTCACTGAAAAGAAAGCAACACCAACACCGCAACCCAACCACAACACCTCAACACCAGCAACGGAACAGGCAGCACCGACGCAGGCGTGCACCACACCAGCACCAGGGGATATCCTGAGTCCAGACTACAACTACCACTACTAATGCTGGGACAATGAGTACTACTACCAAAAGCAAGAACCTAGTCAAGGTGTCCGTATCTGATTTCCCAACTTTCGATGGCAACCAGAAAAACTGGAAACCATTCAAGAGAGAAGTCACTTCAACAATGGGACTCCTACAGTTGACTAGCTTACTCAGTGTAACAAAACTCACTGATATACCCGGCTACACAGCCAAGACAATATCGGTTCCACTTTACAAGACCCGCAATCAAGAATTCTACTCGATCCTATCCAAGAAACTAGCCAAGGGAAATGCAGCCTCAAAGGTAGATGCACACCTGGCTACCATGGATGGTGCTCTTGTGTGGAAAGATATGTGTGACTATTATGACTTTGGGGGAGATAAGGAAAGCCGTATCACATCACTGATTGGAGACCTAACCAAACATTTTCTGCATCCAGAAAGTCATGGAGGTTTTGATTCCTACCATAACCTATTTGTTGAAAAATGCCTCGAGCTCGACAATGCTGGCATTAAAGTCCCTCCTGCAATTCAAAAGACCTTGTTCCTCGAAGGCATCAAAGACAGGGCTTATGAATCTGTCAAGGATAGCTGTACCAGCATTGACTATGATACTGCAGTGGACAAGCTTTGAACCAAAGCCATAGCCTTGGGTAAGGCCAATTCCAGGAGCACCACCAGGAAGTCCAATAATCGAAGGAATAACAATAACAATACCAACAGTAAGCCAGAATTCCAACCAAAGAAATTTCAAAGGGGATACCAGTGGTACAAATCCCAGTGGATTCTCAGAGCAAGTCTGGAATGATATGTCACCAGCTAACAGGAAGTGGATCATGGAAATGAAGAGGAAAAGGAAGGATTGACGGATGGCAGGCAGTATTCTACAGCTGATCGCCAATTAAACAACATGAATACATCAGACCAATCAGACCATGACCATCAAGAACAACAAGAAGATTCAAAGTCAGTCTCATTTGCGGATCAAGAATCACCTGCAGAAGATAAGCCCCAGTCAATCTGGAGAACCCCAGGCAAAAACAGGAAGTCCAATATTGATGAGCGTGTACCTGATAGCAACTGCAACATCGTCTCTGATTCCTCTGAAGATGAGGACACTCCCACACTTAGGGTGATCCAAATAGATACAATACCATACCGCCTCTTGCATGGGGAGTCCTTGTATGTCCAAATCCAAGATCTGAGAACCAATGCCATCAACAACATTCCAGTGGCATGGGCCAAGAACAGGCACAAAATTCTGTTGGCCAACTATGTCACCAAGAACTACAGATATGAGGAAGCCCCAAATAAGTCCATACGCAGCCTCATTATCTGGGCATTAGATGTCACCAATCCAAGGAGAGCAAATATGATGCATCAGACAGATACAGATGCTATTAGCACTCAAGAGGAGTATGTCCACAAGATCAAGGCCATTTACCCCGTCTGCTGTGATCTCAGTGACCCTACCAAGAGTGATTTACAAGTGGTCATCCAACATCTTACTACCAAGGATGATGAGTGGATGTCTGTAAAGGCAGCAAAGCTGGTTTATACACACATACTGGCCAAGTATGTTACAGACAACTATTTGTACCATGAAGCAAGTACTCCCCTTATGAAAGATCTCATCCTATGGGCTATTGGGCAGACCAAACAAGATCATATTACCAGCAGTGTTCGCAACAACAATATGACAACCACCAAGTACTATGACCCATGGACTGCAGCTAAGCTATTTGCTAAGCTCTCCAAGACAAAGGATGATATATACTCTGATATGTATACTGACAGTGGAGCTGATACTTGCAGCATTGGTGGAAAGGCCTGGATCATTGATACACCATCTGGCAGAACTGTCAATGTTGCTGGATGGGATGAAGGTACAGGAGCAATTCGGGAAGGAGTGATGATCAGTGGTGGAGTAACTGCAACAGATTTACCATCAGGAGAAACTATCTTACTCAGAGTGAATGAAGCCACTGTTTTGGACAATGCTAACTCTCTTCTGTCCAACATCCAAGCTAGGAGCTATGAAACCTTCATTGATGATAAACCAAGAAAACATGGTGGCACTTCCTATGTTGGGAAACAAGGATATGTGATACCCCTGGAATTAAGGGGAGGTTTGATGGCAATGAAGATTAGGCGTCCAACTCAAACTGAGTTACAAACATGCAATACAGTTGAACTGACAGATAGCAAACCCTGGCATCCAGAACTGCAAAATGATGACCCAGTCACTGAACAAGACTACCGTCTGCTCGCGAAGTCCCCCAAAAAGAATGAACACGGGATCTTGCAAGCTCAACTAGACGAACGCACTCAGGCATCGGCACTACCCATTAACCTCGCGAACAAACCCTTGGTCACTGGACACATTCTGGATCGTGTCTTCCGCAAGTACAAGGGACCACCCTCTCCCCCTTCTCGGTGGTGTGCCAAGGCCATTCGGAAGCCAAGGCAGTCCAGGACTTGGCAGCTCGAGCAGAGTACGTTGAGAAGGGAGCCTCCGTCACCTTGGAAGATGCCATCGCCATCACTTCCACCGACGTCAAGTTTCCCACCGATGGTCACATTGCGGAGGAAAAGCTCTACGGGTTCTCCATCATGATAGATGTCTTCCATGGAGGAAACCATCCAGTCTCGCGCTCGGTGCGTGATGTGGCCCTCTCGCTGGGATCCTACCTCCACACCATCCATGGCCTGCATGCTGACAACCGGAGTGTGGTGGTGGACTTGTGCGGTCGCATCATTTTCGAGGTCCAACAAGATTACTTCCTGTGGGTCAACGAAGCTATTCTAAATCCGGGCGCTGCTGCCCCCAACTTTGGTACGCTGACTAGACTCGTTCAGTCCTCCCGTGCCTCGTCTCTCGCTGAGCTCCCTGCTCACTGGTACTCATTCTTCAAGCCCGTTCCCGAGCCTCCTATCAAGAAGCCTGCGGGAGCAAACCAACAGCGAGCGGGAGCGCACCCGGTTACCAACGTCCACGGCGATGAGGACCTTTTGAAGCGTTTCCAGGACTCGGGGTTCCGCTCCATCACTGCAATGACCAAGGACCACCAGTACACTATTCCCAAGCACAGTGGTCAAGACGTCTGTGTGGCCTGGGCCCTCAAAGGCAGTTGCACCTCCGGATGCAAGCGCGCTGCCACCCACAAGCGCTACTCGGCGGCTACGGTGCAGAAGCTCCACACTCTCCTCACGGACTGTGGAGTTGCTGACCCGCAGCCCTGTGTCTCCACGCCTGGACTCGCCACTCGTATTGGAGCACCCGCTCCTATCTCGGTGGCGTCCATGCCTCACAAGCAGTTTGGTCTCCGCCCTTTTGATCGCGATGTCTCTCCTGTGAAACCTCCAAGGACTAACAGGAGCACTCCTGCTCGCAAAACACCTTCACCCGAAATTTCTACTACTTCAATTCACGCCCTATCACACGCAGCCTCGCTGTCAATGTCCTCATCATCTAAGCGGTCGGCTGGCCTACTGCCCGGATCACCTAAGAAATGCCGACCGCCTTCATCCACTACATCAAACACCACTAAACCTACTAGCCCTGTCGTTGATACCAGATCAATCCGAAATGACAGACTAGGTACGTTGGTCCAAAATCTTTGCTCAGCCTACTCGAAGGCAGAGACGTGGGAATCCTTTGTCACCGACTTCAGAGGGCGCTCCTACCTTGCTCCAAACCTGGAGGATGTCGACCATCCTGCCATCCCCCTGCTCTGCCACTGGAGAGACCATGGGGTCCCCGTACAAAACGAATCACCTCCCTGGACGACGGAACAGAAGGAGGAATGCGTCCGCCGTGGCTGCAACAAATCTGCTACCGAGCATTCCGACTTCCTCCGCGAGGAATTTTCCGAGTTCATCGAGAACAAGTTCTGGGCTGTCCTTCCATTCGACCTCATCAAGGACGAACCCTCCCTCCTTCTATCTGCCGCTGCGGTAAAGGTAGAACGAGACCGAAACCCCCGACTCATCAGCGACCACACCTGGAACTGGGGTTGGCCCTCCGTCAACGAAACCACATCACATCACGCGCCGCCCGAGGCCATGCAATTTGGAAATGCCCTGCCGCGCATCTTGTACGATGTGCGTCACGCAAACCCCAAGTTTGGACCCGTCCGCCTCTGCAAGCATGACATCAAGGATGGCTTCTACCGCATGTTCCTAAACCCTTCTGACTGCATCCGACTTGCGCTGGTGCTGCCTCGCTACGAAGGTGAGCCCCAACTGGTGGCCGTCCCAATGTCATGCACCATGGGATGGGTCAAGTCGCCGCCCACTTTCAGTGGGATGTCAGAGACTACCTGCGACCGAGCAAATGAACGCTTCCTGAAGTCCCCCAGAGCCTGTCCTCCGCACAGACTTGAGCATCATGCCGAAGGAATGGATGACCTGGACCCGTCCACCACTCCTAGACCACGAGAAAAGGAGGACCATGCGGCAACGCAAGAACTCCTTGGGATAGCCACCTCCCCCTTGGAGGCCGAACCGGACCACTTCGTTGGACCCTCGAACAGACCTCTGCTCCAGCCCATCGGACGCAATGATGTGTTCGTTGATGACTCATCCAACTGGGCCAAGGAGGAAAGACCCGTATGAAACCGCTGCGCAGGCACTTTCTCCATGCCATTGACGAGATCCTCGCGTGCCCCAACCTCAGCAAGAAACACCGAAATGAGGCAGTCTCGCTCAAGAAGCTCCTGCAAGGAGAGGATAGCTGGACTACTCGAAAACTCATTCTGGGATGGATCATCGACACCCTATACGACAGACTCTGGAACTTCCTCCCCACCGGAAGCAAGCGCTCGCTGACATCTTCAAGGAACTAGCCGGGTGTCGCAGAGTCAGCCACAAGCGGTGGATGCAAATCCTAAGCAAACTGCGCTTCGTCTCTGTTGCCATCCGGGGCTCCGCTGGACTCTTCAGCGCGCTCCAGCTCGCCCCCACAAAGTCCAAAGGAGGAAGAATCCGGATCAACACTGCGCTGAGATCCCACATCGATGCCTTTGCTGATCTGGCTGCCAGCCTCTGCCACCGCCCAACTCACCTGGCTGAGATCGCCCCCCAGGACCCATCCTTCTTCGGAGCCACTGACGCCGCCAAGGCTGGAATGGGCGGTGTCTACTTTGACTCCGAGGAAACTCCTTACCTCTGGAGGCTCCCATTCCCTCCCGATGTGCAGGCTCAGCTCGTGTCCACGGACAACCCGAAGGGAACCGTCACTAACATTGACCTCGAGCAAGCAGCCATCCTGCGCAGCACTCCTTGCAAGCGGCGCGGCACTGCGTCACCTACGCCACCCTCTACACTCTCTCGGACAACACCCCGGCCGTCTCCAGAGTCTCCAAAGGGGCGGTCACCTCAGATGGTCCTGCGGCGTTCCTCTGCAACTATGCCTGCCGACACCAGCGAGAGCACCGCTACTGCGCCCTCTCGTCCTACATCCCGGGTCCTGCCAACGTGATGGCTGATGATGCGGCGCGTCTGCAACACCTCACCCTGCCTGAACTTCTCGCCCACTTTGAACAGCGCTATCCGCAGAACAAACCCTGGCAGGTGTTGACTCTGCCACCCGAGGTCAGTTCACTGTTGATCTCCGCCTTGCGCTGCAGACCGCTTCCAAAAACATTGTCTCCAAGACGGCCGCTGCCCGCGACCGGACCTTCGGACGATGGTGTGACTTCTGCGCAGGCCTCGGCGTCAACCCATCCCTCTGTGATATCCCTGACCAAGAGATCCAAGCCTGCTACCTCCTCGTCTTCGGAAACCGTTACCGCGAGTCTAACAATGTCCGAGCTGACTCAGTGGGCAAGGCCCTTCTTGCTGTCGGGAAGGGGATCACCGACCTGGGTCACCCGGATCCCAGAAAGCTCAAAGCTGGATCCGGCCACAACCATCCAATACTCGCTGCTTTCCTCAAAGGACTCCGGGATGAAGATGGACCCCCTGACCGAGCCTACCCCGTCAACATCTCCATCCTCCGACGAGCTATGCTCGATGCCCAGGACTATGACGACGCCACCTGGGGAACCCTCAACCGCCACGTCCGCGACCTCTGCATCCTGGCCTTCTTCTGGCTTCTACACCCGGCGGAGTACCTGGATACCGGGAACCCTGAATCCGGAAGCCAAGCCTTTCGCCTCTGTGATGTCTCCTTCACTGTCCGCGGCGGCCTCCAAGTCCGCGGCGACACCATCTCTTTGAATGACGTGAAAAACCACGCGTGCCTCACCGATGCCACGTTTATGTTCACTGACCAAAAGAATGCTGTCCACGGCGAATCCGTGGGCCACCGCCCCACCTCTGATCCGTGGCTTTGCCCGGTGAAGTTGCTCGCGCATGTGGTCTACCACCTCCGCACCAACGGCGCCGATGCCGATACTCCCCTCTTCAACCACTTCAATGCGGCCCGCAACCGGTGGTATCCTGTGAAGCCCCAGTTCATCACCAACGCCCTCCGCCACGCTGCGGCCCTCATCTCTCACGACACCGGCATCAACCCTGACAAGGTCTCTGCCCGCTCCCTCCGTCCTGGTGGTGCCATTATACAGAATTTGGTGTTTAGAGCGAAAACCCGGGATTGGTGGTTCTCATTTCGGTAGAGGATCCCTTCACCATCCATTTTCCTCCCTTCCACGGCAATCGGTTAAAGGGTTGAGGGCTCTGGCAGCAAAACTGCCGAGGTAAAGTGACGTCTCTCTAACCCAACGGTACCGGTATTTTTATCAAAATAGGCTTCATTGATTGCGAAAGGTCCCAAAATAGCTATTTTTGCTTTTGAGTATTTGGGTTTTACTGAATTCTTTGGGTTTCGGTTTTGTAACGGTACGTTACTGGTACCAGTAGACGAACCGATACCAGGTACCGTCGGAACGGATTTGAGAACAATTGACTGGAGAAGTTTTTTTCAACTTTTACATGAACAACTTTCAGGGGACTGGCTGTTCATGTCATATATTGAGTTTTCCCGCATTATCGCCGAAAAAGAATGCGGCCGAGCGTGGTAAACGGTGGTAAAAGATGGTAGAAGATGGTACCGCCCTTCACCTGTGAAGGAGTGAAACAAAAGCAATCACCCGCAGTAGCTCATTAGATATTTAAAGTTACTAATCATTGTGTGAAACTTAAAACTAGAAGATGGCACCATCCTTGTACTTTGTATGACTGGTACTTTGTATAAGACGGCAAATAAGGTGGTTGAAGGTAGTAAACCAGGCGGTTCAAGGTGGACATCCAATCGTGATAAGCCAGCCATAGTTTGCAACGTTCTTTCGCATTTATGTTTCGTATAAATTTAGGAATGTGGAATCTTCAATGTTCATATAATCGCCTTATTCCTCTTAATCTGTTCGAGCCATAAATAATATAAAAAGCCATTAAGTAATGTCGACGAAACGGGTACCCAACGAGTACTCGCACGCCGGTCCGCATCGGTATAACAGCGAGTTGAAAATATATAAAACTCACGTTTGTGCCCGGCCGGTAAGATTGCTATAGTAAATCAGTACAGCAATACGTTTCCAGGCAAAATTCTCTTCAGAGGTTTGGAAAAGCGAGATTCCGTTTCGATTTTCGAACAGACCAAGAAGAACAATAACAGTCGGTCAACGACATCCACTGTTAGCGACCTCATTATCTCAGTTGCTGTTGATAGTATGGCCCTGCAATCAAAGCGATATCGCTTCCTTTTAGTATAAGGAAGAGAGTAGGCCTTGGTTGTAGGGCCATACTACCAGCAGCAGTCGAGATCTAAGGGCCGCTTGCAGCGAGGGAACAATTCGTCGCTCACTATTGCAGCGAGTCAGAAAGATAACAGGCGGGTGTAACTTCGCCCAAAGCTCGACTGCTACACCTCGGCACTACTATTAGCAACAGCTTATGCATGCACAACAGTCGGATCGATGGGCGCAACAGCCATTCCAGCACACCTTTAGCAGCAGGAATGAACAACATCGTTCCTCGCGATAAATAAATAAATAGAAATCTTTCGCAAACTAGCGCTGGCTTATCAAGATTGAGTGTCCACCTGAAGGCGGTAAACCAGGGGCTGGGTTGAAGGTGGTTGAAGGCTGTCGAGCGCGGTATCAAGTGGTAAACAATGGTTGAAAGTGGTGAATTACTCCTAAAATTGGTCTAAGATGATGCAGGAAATAGTAAGTTGATTTGTGCCACCCGCCAGTAAAACAAACTTGTTAAAATATTTGAAACCAGAATACTACGGCTACTAAAACAATTGTCCCCGTGCAGCAAGACTGGTTTCTGTGCTATGAGAAGAAGATTTTCGTGTCACAGAAATCGGGGCACGAACTCTAAGTAAAATGGAGGAAGGACGTTAGATACCAGGAACAATGCACGATTCAATGATGTTTTATTTAAAGGCCCAGTTTGAGTCACGAGCTCACGATTTTCATGTCACAGAAACTTCACCAAAACTGTCGTAGCATTTCTACTGGAGTCTACCTGTGCAGCCAATTTTCTGTTGTCATAGAAATCAGTCTTGCTGCATGGGGACAATTGTTTTAGTAGCCGTAGTAGTGGCACGACCATACCAGGTAGTCACGGGACTGAAAGGGCCGGAAATCGCGATTTACAAGTAATTCTGCTTCATATTTGCGTTTTGATTTTATATTTAGGTTTTGATTTTATATTTAGGTTTTGATTTTATAGTTAGGTTTCGGATTGATTTTACTAGTTATTTACCATAGTAATTTGGTTTCGGTTTTATATTTAGGTTTCAGTTTTATATTTAGGTTTCGATTTTATATTTTGGTTTGGAATTGATCAATTTAAAAAATTAGATTCTTTTTTTAAAGTCCTGATTTCGGGCCGTTTCACTGGAAAACTTTTGACACAAAAATTGAAAAGGCCAGTTGGAATCCATGGCAGTAGTTTGGGTCGGTTCACCATTTATTGGGATTTCGTTTGTAATACGTAGTTCTTACTCTAACAACGCCAATAGTCCTTTGCAGTATCTAGCTAGCTACCGGTAGCTATAATAGTCATGGCGCCACATCGACACAACCTGGGTTGGTGCGCACGTGTATCAACATCTCATCTTTTTGGATTCGATTCCTGGCAGTCAGTCTCCTTTTGGTTCTGGTTTCTCTTGTCGTCCCACTTTTTTGGAAGTTGAAAACGGTCTTTCGGATAAATTTGGTTGCGTTTCGGTTCTATAGGTGGATTCAATTTCAAGATGCTGATCGGGCCTTTTTACTCTTGCTTGTTGTGCCACAAACATGTTGGGCCCGTCTTGGCTCACCTAGTACGGTACCAGTACAGGAGTATGAAGCTCAGATAGATAATCCAAGTGAGTGAGTTTTAAGTTGGATTCAATTCGAAGATACTGATCGGGCCTTTTCACGCGTTGGGCCCGTCTTGGCTTACCTAGCTAGTAGTTTGAAGCTCTGATAGATACCTTGGCGATTTCGGTTTTATACTTGTAGATGGATTCAATGGAAGATACTGATCGGGCCCTTTCACTCTTGCTTGTTGTGCCGCAAACGGGTTGGGCCCGTTTTGGCTTACCTAGTCTCGGATAATCCAAGGGATCTTGCACGACTATCTTGTGGATCTTTGCAATCCAAGCGATAATGCAACGTACCAGTTACCAGTTTTGGGTCATCGATAGGTTTCGTTCCTACATGTACGTACAGAGCTTGATACTTGAAAAAAAAAGTTATCGACTAAACTCTAAGCTCACAAATCGTTCAGCTGGCCAACAAATACCGAAACCAGAAGTTGAACATCCAAGGCCATGAAGCTCTTATCGGTACTGCTTGCGGTAGCCTGCACGGCTGTGTTGGTTCCGACGCCAGTCGTCGCGACATCCAATGATGTTGTTTTCGTGGAGGAAACTTCTCCTGAAGTGGTAAGTCCCGGTGAAGAGTCCAAACGAAGCTTGACGTCCTTTGGTGCCCACGGTTCTCTCGCCTTCATCCATTGCAATTCTTTTGAAGTCCCTACGTGGTATGAAAGCAATTCCTCAAGGCATCAACTATTCCGTCCCTGCCATTCGTGTTGACGACAGCGCGGCGGAGATCGTGGTCGACCACACCCAAACGTCGTCTGCTGCTCGAGGACTAAGGACCAGCCGTCGTTTAGCAGGAGAAACGTGTCCCTACAGATCGACCAATCCAGGAACGAGCGCCGAAGGTTTGTTCATTTGCGATAGTGGTTGGCGCTCGGACTGCACTTTTGTTTGCGCCCAAACCGCCTGCTACAACAGTGGCGGTGTATGGGCGGCATTGGATCCTTGTTGCAATCCATACAGGTGCTTCTACGGATCGCTCTGCCCTGTAGGTTGGACCCAAGGAGCGAAAACGCAGCACGGGCAGACTTGTACTCGTGCGGCAAATGACCCAAGCTGCCATGAAGACTGTGCCAGAAAGCAATGCCAAGAGCATGCGGGCGAATGGGCTGGGTTCGACCCTCGCTACAGCCCGTTCACATGTTACATGGGTGCTGTGACAACCGAAGAATCAGCCGCAATCGATGATGAAGTGAAAGGGCTGATCACCAACTTGAATAAGGTCAAAATTCAGGTGAGCGGCGCAAAAGACCTTCTGGCGGACGTTGCAGATCGATCAGGCGATGACTGCGTCACTACCGGAAAATCCTGCACTATCGTCTGGGTCATCTTTTTCTTTCAAGTGCTGGCGGAACACACCGTCAATTGGCTCAACGAGGCGCTCAAATCAAAGAATATGGTCGAATTGTGCAAGAATCTCCACAAAGGAGCCGCATCCACGGCTGTTGGAGCTCTGGCGATTAAAAACAAAGGAACCTACGCTATGGAGTTTTCAGGTGACGTAACAGGCCTTACCATCAGTGGAGGGGCTTCCTTCAATATGATCTGGGGTGAAGATGGTCAGAAGGCTTGCTCTACTTCGGGAGTTCTTGGTTTCAATCTTGGCCTTTTTGGCTTTGGCATCGGATCGGGAGTGAGTTTCTCACCAAAGGCGATGGGCGGATTTGGCACGGTCGGCTCCCACATTTCTAATCCCGATGAGTGCTTGGCGGTGGGCCTTCCGGGTGTTCCAATAGTAGTCACAGTAGGTATCACTCCGTCGAACGTGAAAGTTCAAGACGTTGTCTGTCTATTCAAGCGTGACCTGCCACGGTTGTTAACCCAGTCCATCGGCACAAAGACAGAAAGCATGGAAACATGGAAGGAGGCCATACTTGAGGCTGCGATTCGAACCGGAAGTGTTCTTCTGGGTATCAGCTCAGTGGGGGTGGGAGTTGGAACTGGGTTCGATGTCGCCGACTTGGTTACTTTCAAAGGCTCAGACTGGATCCCATCATTTTCATATGGAAAGTGCATTGAAACGGTTTTTCATTGTGAGGGAGGAGGTGAGGAAAACAATTATCGGCACCAAAGAAACAGTCTGCCTATTCCTAAATAGTTCTTTCGTTGTTTCAACCCAACCCGACAAAGGCTGCGATGCTGTGGAGCAAAAGGGGAAGGAGTCTGCTCAGATCAAACTTGTACGCATTCTTTACGCTGCGGGAGCTTTGTTCCAACCCGCTTTCCCCTGAACCTCTTACCTGATGAAATCATTTCTCTCTTTTCCCATATCTATGCAGAAACATAACGGTCACTGTATGAGTCATCAAGGAAAACATGTTGAGCAACATTGGTGTCAAAACCTCGAGGGTACGTTCGGCTCCGTCTGCATGCGACTCCTTTTCACCCGACTTCGGCCGGACTAACCACTTCATGTGCTCCGTTTGGCACCGATCACTGCTTCAGACGCTTCGCAAACGTGGGGTTTCAGTGCAGCAACGGAACGCATCGAAAACCTTGCTTGTCCAAAAAGTTACACGCAAGGAGAACTCGGAAAAAACGGGATGGTTTGCACCAAAGGTTGGACTCCAGACTGTCAAACAGATTGTGCCAAGCATTTGTGTGAATCCCAGGGAGGCACTTGGGCAGGTCTGGATCCGTGCTGCAATCCATTTACGTGTTACATGAAAACGCCATGGTGCTTGGACTTTGACTATTGGCAGGGGACACAAGTTATCATGCACCCTTGTCATGAGTGAGTCTGTGAAAAAGTTGACTACCGGTATGGACTGTGACGTTTTCAAAGCTCACTGCTACGTTCCATTGTATCATGTTTTTAGTAAAAACAACCAAAAATGGTACCACGATGGCACCACAATCCGCACTCGTCATGACACGAACAAATGCTTGACTTTTGACAGCGGACGATTGACACTGAAGACATGCGGCGCAGCACATCAACAGTTTTCTTGGCCTAACGAATTCTGGGCATCCAAAGGCGGGGCTCCAGTTCGCCATACGCCATCACCACATTGCCCCGTTTCCTTGTCTGGAAAGCCTGGATTGCTCTCCAGTTGGGCAGATCTTGGAAGCTGCCTCGACGTTGAAGGGACTCACAGCGGCGAAGTTCCCGCAATGCGAACTTGCAGCGGCGGTATGTGTCTTGCAGCATCACCTTACTCCTCAGCCATGACTTGACTAAATATTGTCGCGTGCATCTCTGTCACTGTAGGAAACGGCGAGAAATGGAAATATGACGTATACAAAGGAGAAATAACGAGTATCCATGCTAGCAAATGCTTGGACTGGGACACAAATACTGCTTCAAAAGTGCTCCTTTGGGTTTGCGTACGTTTCGTTGTTCTGAACCTTGTTGAGAACAGTATTTGCTTATCGGAGGTCCTCACGCACGTGCAATTCATTTTGCAAACAGACCGGCGGTAAAAATCAGCGATGGTATCGCAAGGACAAGACTGTTCGCAATAAACAGAAGGGAGACGGGTTTTGCTTAGACACAAAAAATGGAAAAGCAGAGCTTCTCGCTTGCGACAGCAGCGCAACACAAAACTGGAATTGGCAGCCTGGTTTTTGGCCGTGAGGTTCCTGCGATGCCTTGCCTTGCCTTATAACAATCCTGGTAAGCCAACAAGAACAAGAACAAACCAAAACGTACAACAAGATCAAGAACGCTGTATTGAAATCAGCAACTATACCAAAATCACATAGAAAAAAGAACAAGAACGCACACCAACTGCACTGAGCAGCAACCTGTCTTGCTGGACAGCAAGATACAAACGTACCCGTATGCATAGCAATAAAGTTAATGGAGACTGACTTTCTACCGTAGCTCCGCCTACTACCGGTACCGGTTGGCATGCAAAGCTTCCGAGTGGCCACTTAGACTTCCCGGACCGAAAATACCACTTTCGTAGTACGGCCTGGCCCCGGCTGGCTTCCGTAGATAATTTCCTACTCTAAACCCCCTTATATAACTTTCGTAGTACGTAACGGAGCGACCCGCCGTGGTATGGTGCCAGGAAGGAACGTCCCAAGAAGCGGATATCACAAGATCTCCTTCCAAGCGCGACTAAAGGCAGAAGTTCCGTCAACGGTGCGGGAGTCTCCATCTAGGATCCGCTGGGAAAGTCTGCAGAAAAGACTTTGCTCTTGAGAAACTGAGGCTCACAAATACTTTCCACAGCTCTTACCACACAAAAGATTCTATCACAACAAAAGCAAGTCATCATGAAGCTTCCTTTTGTTGCTTTGCTTTGTCTTTCGTTCCTATCCAATGGCCTTGCAGCCAAACGCAGTGATTCCAAGCTGGTAAGTCAACCAAATCAGCCATTGGCAACGAGCGACTGTATGCGATTCAAGCTGGGGCTTCAAGCAGCTCTCGCTTCTGTAGTGTAGTCCAAAGAGTCTAGCATCATGCGAATTCAGTCAACTAGATCTACATGCCCCAAGTCGGTTGCTTGCTGAAGAATTGGAAATAAAAGCTGGCCTTCTCACTATTTCTGTCCAACCCCTTTCTTATCTTTCAGCGCAACAGGCATGTTTCTGGTGGAAGGAAACTGCAAATGCCGGTACGCACAGCTCGTCTTCTTCAAGGCTAGCCTATGAGGAACTGCTCAAAAATGTTCACCTCTCTAACACAATGACTCTGACTCCTTTCTGAAGGTCGAAGACTCCGAAGAAGAGTCACCTGAGTTTGACTATACGGAAGATGGGGTACGGGCTTTCTCAAAAAACTTGGGCATTTTGCCATGGTTCTCGATCCCCGGCTCGCTTTATTTGCATGCTCCATCCTCATTGTCTGCTTTTCATTTGCTTTTTCTGGGTTTCGCTTGGTTGTCAACAGAAACGTATCTACTACATATACTTGTCAGGACCAGAAGTATTCCTTGAGGATGCCGTGGCAGCTGGAGAGGAAGGAAAGAGGCTTTGCAACAGTGTCAATCAGCCTGACTGGGATTTTGAAATTCAGGCCCTCTATCCTTTGGATAAAGCAATCGACAACTTCGGCTACAATCTTGATACTGCTCTCAGAATCTACTATGCAAATGTGGATCTCATGACTCAAGCTCACGCGACCGCCAGCAATATGGTTCGCTTCAGGTCTCCCAGCATGGATGTTGGTACGGCTTTTGAGATGGGCTTTGTCCGAGCCCAGGGCAAACCCGTCTTTTCGTACTATGACGCTGTTCCCTTTTACGGAGCCTTTGAGGAATCTGGGTCCTACCAGGAGAGAGTATTCTTCTACAATTATACAACCAGCGTTGAGGATCGTTTTGACAAAGATGGCATTGAAGTAGAAGGATTCGGAGCGAACGATAATCTGATGATGTGGTTAGTAGTGGAATTGTGTTTCATGCATCCGGTATTGCAATCACATTATGCCTCTCACATGTCGCTTCTTCCCTCCATCTCTTATAAGGGGCTCATACGTTGACACCGGCTTCCCTCAGGGAGAGACTGTGATTGATGCTTGTGGGTATTTTGCAGATTGGATTTTTGAGAATGAATATTGATTTTGTTTAAGCAGGCAATCAACGTGACCAAGAAGGATGACAAAGGTTGGTAATGCTGTCGTATACATCAAGTTCACCTAAGTATTGGCTGTCCTACTAGCTAGGGTGTTGCTTTTGATTTCTCGGTTCGGGCTCCATTTCTGCTTAGCTGGATCACCTAGCTAGACAAGTATATCTGATTAACTTGATCTTGCCATAGCTCTAGCTTACCAGTATCTACATGAGGTTTTGAAACAGGTATCCACGAGGAAATTTTGGGGTAGGAATACAAGCGAGGTGACTGCCAAGTCAGCGCGTGAATGATTCAATCAAACCAAGCTTTGGGTGCAACATGTAGACGGGACCGATACCGGAAGTTGGTCGCTGCCATTGGTTTGGTAACTTCGTTGGCGGTGGAAATTCGACGATGATGGTACATGTATTATAGTTGGTGGTCAACGCCTCACAATGGAGACTTTGTGCGGGATCACATGGACGTTTAGTTGTCTCTTTAGCAGTTGCCTCCACCGCCTCCGTCCACACCTCTGTCGCAATCAGGAGGGCCTCCACCCCAGACAATGCTTCCATCAACATAGTGACTGCTCGCTTGTCCGTTGTCGTCATCCCGAGAAGGACGATATGAACATGATGCAGGCACGCCGACACGAGGACCTGAGCTGTTCATGGCATTGCAGAATCCGAGGAAAAACACGGCTATAAACACAATGGGAAGAAATTCATCGGAGATATCCATGATTTGTTATGGTACCACTGATATTGCCAAAACAAGAAGAAGCTGCCTTCACTCCGATGATGGATAACTACGAGCAACACAAACTATGAAAAATGCATCCTGACGAAAAAGGGCCGTTGGAAGGTTGGAGGGCGGATCGAAATTAGTGATGAACGGCTGATGAATGTCTTGTTTTGAACAAACTGCCTGTTAACGGCTGCACCAAGGTCACAATTATCTTTTCACAGCCAGTTTTAAGCTGTAATAACAGTTAAGCTGTAATACGTACCTTTTTAAGCGTTTGTAGGACCGGTCTGTCGCCCTCAGCCAAAAGGTAGGTGACCAGCATCCATGATGGGCATGATCAGTGTCATTGTATTGCTGAAAGATGAAGCCCAACTTGATGTAGTTAGTGGCCGAAACCACTAGCTATTATATCGTTGCTGACTTAATAAGTCGCTTTTCTAATTGCTACACGGCCAACACGGACTTGCGCCTTGTCGGCCAAATAGTGTAGACGTTTGACATGCATGCACACCAGCCAACCAATCATCTCGCATTATGCAAATTGTTGTTGCTACATTATTACTATCGCCTCACTATTTGTCGATATCGTTACCCTGCGAGCCCAGAGCTTCCAAGAGTTGGACATAAATGCCGATACCTTCCAGAAAGTTTGATTCTTCGATGTATTCATCATTCTCATGCAACATGATTTCCGTCTTGCGCATGGGACTGAATCCCAGGGCCCGAATACCCAAGGCGCGCAAAAAGCGAGAATCCGTGGCCGCCGGAAACACTTGTGGTTCCAATGACATGCCCATGGTTTCCAACGTGTCGGCAAATACCTTGTACCAGGGATTCACATTGGTATCGATGGAAGTTGTTGCGTGTTCCATGGCATGATTGCCTTGTCCGCCGGCATATTTCCACGTAATTTGAGCTCCAGCAGCAGGATCTTTGGAACATTCCCTACACCATTGATCCAACATGGCACCAATGTCTTTGGGTGCGACATGAGGCGATATCCGAATATCCAAGGTACATTTGGCTTTGGGAGGGACACAATTGTAGGCCAGCTTGGATCCTGCGTAGACACCAGCAGTCAGGGAGGTAATGTTGAGACTGGTGACATCTCCCAGCGTTGTGCTTTTGGCCACCACGGCATGGGCACAGCCATCATGCTCCTTCATTCCCAACAGATCACGTTGTCCTTGGCGAAATTGAAGTGCCTTTTGGCTTAATTCTACAAGTTGCTCCACGGCAGTATTGTCAATGAATCGGCTGCCGTGACCGGTTGGGCCTGTAGCCTCAACATCAACCCACCAAGGCAACCGTTCTCCATAAAAGACGGAAAAGACGTCGGTAGTACTGGCCAATCCCTCGTCCAGAGCCAAGGCAATACCACCATGGTTTTTTTCAATGGTTTCCTGATACAAAGATGATTCCAAAAGGGCTGCCATTCCTTGACCTCCCACTGTCAAGATTTAATTAAGAAACCAACAAGAAAGCAAAGTTAGATCCGCAAAGAAAATCGTCAATAAACTAAGTCATGAACAAAGCACTTTCCAGTCGGTTAAAACTCACCTTCTTCGTCTGGGACAAACGTCAAGTAAATGGTGCGTGTGGGTGTCCACTCGGGATGATCTCTCTTCATGCAGCGAATGGCTTCGATATACTGCATACACACAGACTTCATATCTTGAGTTCCCCGTCCATAAATTTTGCCATCTTTTCGTCTGCCTTCAAAGGGTGGCGCCTGAGACCAGTCATTGGGATCGGCAGGTACCACATCGTAGTGAGAATTCCACAAAATCACCGGCAAACTCTCGTCTTTGCCTTTCCAGCAGGCTACCACCACGGGAGAATGATCTGGTGCTTCGGGCAAGAGATGAATGTCGGATAAGACGCCAAGTGCTTGGAGTTCATGCACGAGAAAGGAGGCACAGTCCTTGTAGGCACCGGACTCCACGGCCAATGCACTGACCGTTTCATACCGGAGAAACTTTTGGAATCTGACAATAGCTTCCTCGGCTTGATCTGCTGTCAAGCCCTTCATGCCGTTGTTGGAGTGCCCATTGCTCGTCGTTGCCATGGTTAATCGAGTAGTTTTGTTGGTTTGCTTTGTTGTCAAAACTTTGTCGATGCATACTAGTATGGTGCACTGCTACAGCTGTAGCATGAAGGGTGGGAGGGTGAGATGCGATGACGTCATTGAAGAGCGTGCAGGTCCAGCAAGCTTTGTGTACTTAGACTTTTAAAAGCAACGTTTGATCTAAGTATCCTCACATCGGTAGTAAAATTCTAAGGATGATAGAAACCAGTAATTTTGAGGCTGTCCTGGTCACAAACTCGCAGAATTCGGGTACTTCCGCATTCAATGTTCTCTGCCCTGTCAAAAGCAGATCCGCACGTACCTCTTCACAGATAGCATTTGTTCACAGATACCGTACACGTGTAGTACCTCTTCAAAGGTACAACCCATGATAAAAGAAGGAATTTAGGAATACATACATTGCCTTGACGCGACGCAACGCGACGCACACAAAGCCAAACGTAAACAGCTCCAAGGGATCAGGCGATCAGGATACCCCTTGCTGCTTCGAAGTTGTTTGATTCAGATTTGCGCGAGAAATTTTGTCCCCTGTTGTTTGCCTTCTTACTTACAATCAGCCCATGCCTTCAAAAACTTCTAATCACCAGCAATCATTTAGCTTTTCTACCAGGCCCATTAGCCCAACCCGACAGCGCAGTCAATCTGCTTCGCCTGTCCACAAAGGGGGGAAACTGCAGCGACGCCCCAGTAGACCCCTGGCCAAAAGATTGGTTGGGGAAGAAGAGGCTTCCAGAAGAATGAGTGAGCCACTAGAGTCCCCCGCAAGAACTTCTATCAAGAGAAAAACCACAGAGTCGCCACTACCGTTGTCTCCCCAAGGAGGGCGTCGGCACCAAAAACTCATGGCCTTGAAAAGGTCCAAGGAAGCCAAGCCGAGCTCTCCAGAGCCTTCTGGGGTTTACAGTCGCCAAAGTCCATCGTCGATACCAGCCCAGGGTTATACGCCGTCATCATTGGGAGATAGTCAAGAGATGATGGTTCGGCCAAGCCCACCCGGATCCAAGGCAGTCGATCGACACAGTCCTCCAGGAACCAAGGCAGCCAAGTACCAACTTCAACAGCCCACGCCACGCAGAGCATCGCCACGGCACAACAAGCCACCTACGCCCCATCGATTGCGTCCTCCAGGAACTACTCCGCCAAGAAGACGTTTCGATAGCAGCGGATCCTACGAAGACTCTCCTCCCATTGACAGGCGCGAGACGTACCCTCCCAGTAAAAGGAGTGGACGCAGGTCTTCTTCCGAAAGCCCGCAAAAGCACTCGAGCAAGAGGATTTCCTCGCGACAGGCATCTTCGTATTATCGACTGGATCACGACGATGACGCGAGGCAGAAGCATTCTGATGCGCCTCAAAAGAAACCATCGTCGCACAGTCGTCGGTCTCCCTCTCCTCGCCGTAGCAGCAGCAACAGCAAGGGTATTTCGGCTCGCCCCGTCTACATCAATAAAAGCCAGCGACAGCAAAAGGCAGGTGTCATTCTCAACTTGAATCCTGCTATTCTCTCGCAACAAGCCGGGCCACACTCTCTGACGTACAGTACGAGCGCTACCTCCGGGACCGGGCACAGCCATGACGACGAGAAAGGTCTTCGTAGGAACTCGCAAGAACACAGTCGTAGCAGTGATCTCAGTAGTAACTCCAGTGGAGAAACTCTATCGTACAACTATTCCGAGCTGACCTCTCAAACATACGAAGGAAGCAGCAACAAGCAGCCAGCATCTATTGCAGGGCAGGAAACCGTATCCGTCGACCGAGTGGAATTGGAATTGATGGCTACTACCTCGACCAACAACGGCTCGACGTCCCAAATCACACCACGTAGAAGGAGAAGCGCCAACGATCGCTCGCTTGTTGACAGACTTGGAGAGGTCAAAGAGGAAGAAGACGAGGACGTAGAATCTCGTGTGACGGCCCCGTCGGTCAACGAGAAAATTGAATTGATGCTACGGGCCAATAGCACCGAGTCAGAGTCAGATTCGATGCAAGGGTCGCAGCAACAAAAAGAAGTGGACGTGGAGTCTCAAGTGGTGATTGGCGACAACACTGCCTCTGCGCCGACTACCGAACAGCCACAGTTTAAGAAGAAGAGGAGCTGGTTATTTGGTTTGCTCAGCCATGGCAGTGGCGACACTAATGTCATCGAGCCCAACTCGCAAGAAGATAGTGTGGACGCGACGGTGTCTCGCACTGGCTCTAGCGAGCGAGGAAAAGGACAGGAAGAGATTGGCAACAAGTTCATGGTTGCTCCAATGAAACTATTGGGCTTTTCTGGACAACGTACGCAGGTACAACCTGGACCGGCAAAGGGTGATCTCGAAGCAAACGAAGGCAATAATCAGGACAAAGCAACCCCCGCAGATGCAACGCCGAAGAGTCGCAGGACCCTGATCGTCGTCGTGTCTTGTATCATTGCTCTCGTCGTCCTGGCGGCTGCAGCTGTGGTAGTGTGGAAAGTCTTGGAAACGCAGGATCAACCGAATCTATCCATCGAGATTGTGGACAGTCCGCCGAGTGAGGAGGACAAGGAGACTACCGGTACCGTAGTACCTGCTGGTGAAAAGCCCGATACAGCGTTCGAAGTCCCCGATACAACATACGACGTGTCTGATACTCCGTCGGAATCTTCCTCCAACACAACATCTCATTCTGTACCGTCGGTCAGGTTAGAGGATTTGCCAGCTTTCACCATGACGGCAATCTTGGACGATCCAGAATCAGCACAGGCCAAAGCATGGGCATGGATGCAAGAGGACCCATGGTTCAATATCTATTCAAAGCAACGTTTCCAGCAAAGGTTTTCCCTGGCAACACTGTACTTCTCCACAAACGGGTCCAACTGGGACGATAATGGAGATTGGTTGAGCTATGAGAAGCACGAGTGTCTTTGGTTCTCAAAAGCAACTTTCTTTGGGTGGAGTGTTTGTGACGAGGGAAATACATACAATGCTCTCGTCCTGCAATCCAACGGGCTTCAGGGTGACCTACCTTCTGAAATCACGCTAATGTCATCTTTACGGCATTTGCACATTGGAGATAACCAAGTCGGCGGATCCTTGCCGCATCAACTTGGCCTCGACATGCCCCAGCTACGAACGTTGAATCTTTTTCAAAATGCCATGTCAAACACGATTCCGTCAACGATTGGGGTGCTATCCCTTCTAGAAAACATGGACATCCAACAAAATAAGTTTGAAGGGCTGATTCCCACGGAGATCGGACTCTTGGATAAACTTAAGATTGCGGATTGGTCTAAGAACAGGTTCTCTCATTCACTGCCGAAAGAGATGGGGCAGCTCACGCAGCTGAAATCCCTGCTGTTTGAATGGAATGAGTTGACCGGATCGATTCCTTCTACATTTGGGAATCTAGAAAGCTTAGTCGCTTTCAACATTTCAAACAATAATGTCAAAGGCATGTTGCCTTCGGAGATTGGCAAATTGACTCTGTTGGAAGAACTGTGGGCCGTGAACAATGATCTTCACCTAGCAATCCCATCTGAAATCGGGCTCTTGAGAAATCTAACTACGCTGAACCTGTTTTTCAATTCTCTTGATGGCACGGTGCCTTCTGAGATTGGGATGCTGACAAAACTGCAATTTCTATACCTCAGCTACAACAAGCTCTCAGGGTCCATCCCTGATCTCAGCAACATGCAGTCTTTGCAACATTTGTTCTTGAATAGCAACCAGCTGAGTGGCTCAATTCCACCGTCCATCGGCAACCTGACGACGATGGAAGCCATCAACCTCAATGCCAACCGCTTCTCTGGAGCGATCCCTCCAGAGATTTCATCCCTCAGTCTCCTAACTCAAATGGATCTGGACGATAACGGCTTTGAAAGTGCGCTTCCAACCGAGATTGGCCTTCTCCAGAACCTTCTAGCTCTTTCTTGCAACTTCAACGACATTGTGGAGCTCCCTTCAGAGATTGGTGCACTCGGCAAGCTGACTAAGCTTTCCCTCAAGTCCAACAGCTTGAGGAGCACGCTGCCCCACGAGATCGGCTGGCTCACAAATCTGGAAGCACTGATTTTGGTTGACAACATGATCACGGGTTCATTGCCTTCGCAAATTGGTTTAATGTCCTCGCTGCAAGTGCTTGACGTGTCGAGCAATGCCCTGTCTGGTGAGGTCCCGTCGGAAGCCGGACTCTTGCCTTCGCTCCATTCCGTCTATTTGGAGCTGAACATGCTAGAGTCGAGTCTTCCGACCGAAATTGGACTCCTTACTAACCTCGAAAACTTGGTTGCATGGGAGAATCAACTATCAGGACAGCTCCCAACCGAGATTGGGCTGTTGACTCGAGGCGATATCTTTGACTTGAGCCACAACAGGAATATCCACGGGACGATCCCTGTAGAACTGGGAGAGATGAAGAAGGCAACCGAAATCAGCTTCTCGGTGACGAGCGTCTCCGGCTCGATTCCTCCTGAACTCGGCTCCTTGTCACGCCTGGAAACCCTCCGTCTGGACTCGACTTTCTTGACCGGACCGATCCCGAACGAAGTAGCCACTCTTCCCAACCTAGACCTATTCACAATCGCCAACACAATGATCTCTGGAAATGTGAACTCGATGCTGTGCGGATTGGAACGTTTTACAATGAGTTGCTCTGAGATACTGTGTGGATGTGACTGTCCTTGTGGTGTTGTTGTCGACGAGACGGAAAGTTCATCCTCAAACTCGAGCAACGTCTTGATGAATAAAAACATCACAGCGAGCTCGTTGCTAGATGGTGAGGGAGCTTCTAACCAAACCATGGCTGATAGCACATCGGACTGGAACGACTCTGCGGAGGCGATGCCAGGCAAGGACGACTTTGTATCAGTGTACGAGGCAGACGAGGACGACGATTTGAGTTAGTTCGAGACGACGATTGAGATAGAGATACAACGCATGATGGGTGGTGAAAGTACGAAATAGTTTACCAAAGAGCAAATTGCACTAGAGCGGTGCAAGACAAGGCAGTTCCCAGCAAAAGCCAGATCCAACTTTTGTTAAAGTTAGATGGGTGGTGAGTCTTGGTCGAAGAACGTCATGTCTAGCGCGTTTACATGGTTCTTTTCAAGACCAGTCAACTCATGTCGACATTGTGGAGAGTCCATTTGATGTAATGTATAAAACTAAAATAAAAAGGTCCAATAACCAAATTGCTTGTTTGAACTATGATACTGTTCCTCAGTGCGTTGATTGTCTCTTTCGATCCAGCGGCAAGCTCTAGCTCTAGACTAGCTTAGCATGGTTGTTGCATTGCATGTGCTTGAAGACACAAAAAGCAAACAGCAATTGGCAGGAAAGGAAGCAGCTGTGTCCTGATCTTTCCCTTGTACATGTGTCCAGGATCTTTGCTACAATGCATCAGCATTGGTGGCTGGCTGCCTTGCAAGTCAGTCGAGACAAGGTTATACTGTCAAGAACTCAATGGCATTATAGGAGGACCGACTCTCCTTGGATCCAGAGGACGATGTAGGTGACGAATGATAGAGATATTCCGTTTCTCCTGTATATTCTGGATCCGTATGGTCTTTGTTTGCGGGTCTCCAAGAAACGCTGTTGGAGTCTTGGCACTTGGATCTGATCCTTTGGCCAAGCCAATACAATGCTGCTGCCAGGAACAAAACAATCACAGCTCTGCCCAGACTATGTCCGTGTTGTGTTGGTGGGGTTAGTGGAGTGGGTTCCTCAGTGCTGCTGCTGCTGTTGTTGCATCCAAACTCGGGCGGAGGATTGGCGGAATGTTGACAGACCGATTGGTCAATAAAGTTCAGAGCGGCAGTGATGCGTGCATTGACAGCGGGAAAGTCCGGATCAGCACCTAGTAGTGTTGCAGTATTCGATACCAAGGGCGTGTGAGTATGGCAAACACAACACATTTCAGCCAGATCTGTGAATGACCACTTACATCCTTCTCCCCAAGACACCAACGCCACTAGCACATCTTGTTCCGGCGAATCACCCTGGATGATAATGGGACTTCCACTGTCATAAGCACTAAATTTAATGTAACAAGAGCAAGGCAACAAGAGCACACAACAGCTATGAGACAAGACTGCCCATGGATACCAATCACTGTACATACAGTTGACACAGTTCCAGTTGACACTTCTCTCACCATGCATCTCTTTCATTGTTGGGTCCACCAGTGGTGCACAAGTGATCGCGATGGAGACGCCCCTGATAGCTAGTCACTTCGTCGTCATTGTCATCATCATCCTCCTCCACACTGTGGCTGTTATTGGCCCACTGGCACTGCTCATTGGGCAGATAGTTCAATTCCACCTCTCGAAGCGTATTGGCCTTGTGATCCTGGTTCCAATCACTGGGATCAGTCCATCCCACGCCCATGGCGACGAGTGGTTGCTTTGGCCAGGGCAGATTGGGATTGCGATTGAGCTGCAGGTAGGGAACATCCAGTATGGATTCCTTCAAATACAGGAGCGAATAATCCCATCGCATTTCATCTTCTCCCACAGCTTCCCAGTTCTCATGACGGTCCATGGCACGAATGTCCACAACCATGGAAGTATCATTATTGTGATGATGGAAGGTGTAGCGACCCACATGTGGCTGCACGTCGTACTTGTGTTTGGGCATGCAATGGCCTGCCGTCAAAATGACATCAGGGGCAATGAGACTGCCTCCACAGTAATGTTCCAGAGTGCTAAAGTACGGGTAGCGACCAAAAGGAGCCACATGCCCATTCACAATCAGCTGTCTCTGATGAAGAGCTGAAGATTCTCCCAAAACCAGGGTGGGTACTATCATCAGTCCCAATGACAAAAACTGTTGCATGGTTCTTGCAGGTGTGGTTTCTTGTTTTCTCTTGGAATAATGCAGGTGGTGTTGGTACTGTAGTACGAAGTTGGTTTTTCGACACAAGAGTTAGAAAGTGTGAGAGGAAAAGTTTCAAGCCGAGTGAGATGCCGATGACGGTGTGTGCGTGCGACTGATCGGATTGACGCTTTTGTAATAATTGAAGGCAAATCAAATCAATCACACCCAGAGAATAGTGTCAACCTCCAACGTTTCTATTGGTGTGGGTGGGTTGACAGTGCGTTTCAGGCAACACAAAAAATGGCCACCACGGCACGCAAAGAGCGAAGTTGTTGTCGGAACTTGTCCTCGTCGGAATTTTCAAGTTTATGTGGAAAGAAAAGGACACAGCTGCACATGGATACTTTAGTTTCAAAGTGACCAATAAAGTGTCCCTGTTCTAAGCAAATTGGACAAAGACAGAATTTTGCTGTGACGTCAGCCACAAATTGTTAAGTCTTCCAATAATGAATCTGAGACGAATCTGGCGAGGAAATTGGCGAGAAATGGATTGTAGACCGCAGACGCACACTTGCTGCAAGAGTTGTCCCAATTCAGGACCTCCGCATTCCGGTTTGTCCACAGGCGAGAGGACAACTTGGTTGTGTTTCGGGTGTGGCTCCCAACAAAATGTTCTTTTCCCTGTGCCAAATGTTCTAGCCTGGGTTGAACGTTGTTGTTTACCAAGCAAGGGCATGAGTTCAGCTTTCAATGGAACCTCTAATACCGGAACCTTCTCAAACTGATCCAGACTGGTACTGGTAGCACACAATGTACCGTAAAAGCACATTGGGGATTCGCCTAGCTAGTTAATCCTTCAGGTTTCCTTGAATGGATCAAATGCATGCTCGGGTGAACTAGTTCCAGGGATTGTATGTATGGTATCATGCAGGACACCTTATACGTACATTGCTCTCACAACTACAAGCAAGCTGGGTGGGGTCGGGGTATCTCCACATGGGCTGCAATATGTTACATCTGCCAGCAGGGTTCATGTTGACTATTGGGTTTACATGACTTGTGGTGAAGTTGCTGAATGTCCCGTTGGGTACTGCATAGACCAAGTTCAATTTCTGGTTGTTTTGAAGGATCGAGTTCACCCAAGAAGCGGTCCAGCTTGCCGCTGTCGCAGTCATGTGTCCGGCCAATGGTAACCTGAATTGCATAGTATTCGTTGCCACGCTTGTACATGAAATCCATCATGGGTTCGCTTTCATTGAAAGAGTAGAAAATGCCTCTGTCGTCTCCGTTCTTGCAATCTCCAATCATGTTGTTGGTCCGGCGTATCCATGTGGCCGTGCACCCTCCCAACTCCAGGTCAAAGAAGACGCCATAGTCTCTGTGGCTTTTTCCAACTGCAGCCCGACATCTGTACTTTTTAGATTCGCGAGCAAAGGGGGACCGGACGTATGATTCAAAAAGATGGCCACGGGTAGAGGCTGGTTCTTGGGCCATAATCTCATTCCACAGATCTGCCATGTGTCGTGTTGCAACCTTTTCTTGCACCAGGTCAGAGACTACACGTAATGATGCGGTGCCCAAATAGTAAGGTTGTTCTCCGGTGATGCACATGATGGAGGAACATGGAGCATCGCTGTCGCCACCATTGAGCTCCACAGCGTTTTCGAGGATTCGTTTCACTTTCTCTGCATTGATCTTGCGAAGGTCAGTTTCCTGTATTTGTTCTTGTAGCAATAGAAACTTTTGGTCAGTGGAACATAAGTGCCATGGAATGGCTCCAAATCTTCGATGACGGTCCTCTAGTAGGGTGTCTTTGGCAATGCTGTTTGAATTTGGAAACTTGTGCCAAGCAGCAAAGATTTGTTTCTAGGTCATCATGGGAAAAGTTAGCAATAAACCACTTTTAGTTCCAGTACGCTCTTTCACCATAATCCTCTTTGTTGAGCTTGATTGAGTCGAGAAACTCCTCTGAACGCGCCTTGGCCAAGGTTTCTTCTTTCGTCTTGGGTCTCTTTCTCTCTCTTGGGTCATCTTCTGGCCGTTTTCATGTTGTACCAGCAGCGGCACAGTCATGCTTACTTGTAGTGGGACAGTACCGGTACGGTACCTGGCTGGTACCAGTACGGTAGGATCCAGCACCATGGATTCGTTCGATTCGATTCGACTCGATTCGACTCGATTCGATTCGATTCGACTCGATTGGTTCGATTCGATTTGCTCTCCTCTCCTCAGCACGTACAGTCGTATCCGGTACATACAGTGTAGAGCTTTTTTTGAACGCTGCAATTTTGGGTTGTCAACACCATCCATCCATCCGTCCACCATGGCCGCCTCTTTGAACATGACGATCAAACCGTCCATGGCATGGTTGCTGGTGTTCGTGCCAGCCTTTTCCTATTTTGCGTCGACACGACTCCAATCCTCTGGCTTTCGATGGGGTCGCAGCAACACGTTGGGTGATCCCATCTCGACCCGCTTGTTGGTACACGACAACAACGACAATTGCCAAGGATTGTCGCAAGTCTTTTTCCTGGCCGACTCGTCGTGTAAGGCGCAACAAGAACAACAAGAACAAGAACTACAATACTCGTTGAATTTGCAGGCAACCGGTCGTGGCATGAAGGGGATTGTGGCATCGATTTGGAAACACGATGACGAATTGGGCCGAGGCTACTTGTTGTTTTCGCAATCGCACGGCAATGGACGGATTTGGAGATGGGAAGTTGGTGGAGGACCCATTGCCATTGGACGATCGCTCCATTTGGAAGACAGTGGTTGTCGCTCCGGTGTCTACCAACCCTGTCATGCCAACCAAACAACTACCACAACAACAAGTAGTAGTAGTAGTACTAGTGTCGGCAGCGGCGGCATGGCGATTGATTTTCATCCCGCTGGAACCCGACATTCCGAAGGATCCTTGGTGGTTGCCGAATGGGGGGAAGGAAGAATTATTCGCATGGAAGATTCCAATGGCGCTCGAACGCCTCTTATGATTCAAGTCCCCGATGCCTGTCGTCCCAACAACACTACGCGACGACTCTTTCAACCCAAATCACTCCTTATGAACCCGTATGGCGATTTGTTGGTGGCCGACACACAGCCAGATGATTGTGGACTAGCCGCCATTTATCGACTGTCCCAAGCGGTGCATGTCGAATCACTGCCTTCCTTGACGGTCAGTCGCAAAGCTCATGGATGGAATCAAACGCATCATTCCCATCCAGTGGATCTCATTTATTCTGGTAGCCAAGAGATTGGTGGCATGGCCATGGATCCCACCTGGCTCTCCCTGTACGCGACCGTCTTGGAACACGACGGACGTGTTCTTCTCAAACAAATGCCGGCGGTTACAATGGAAGACGATGATGATGATGAAACGGATGACGATTTAGCGGATGACGAAGAAGATGACCCAGACAACAATTTGCCCAAGGACGATGAGATTACTGCAGGTGACGAGGAACAGCCAACAACAGAAGCACCGCCAAAACCAGTCTTGAATGACGCCGCCAATATCGTTTTGGATTTGACACAAGCCTTGAACTGTACCCAACCAGGGGCTTTGACCGTTAGTGAAAAGGGACATGTCTTTGTGGCTGTTCCACAAGGCATTGCCATTATCAGCGCGAAAGCCAGTGTATTGGGAATATTGCCCATGCCGTCGCAACCCACCTCCTTGACATTGGGAGAAGATCAATTCCTCTACGCATTTTCCGACGACAGTCTCTATCGGATACGAGTACGAATGGGACCCGTCATGGTCCCGACCAACTTGGTTACCGGTGGGAAAAGATAAAATAGAAAATAAAAGAATATGTATCGTATCGGACGATAGATTAAAAATATTTGCTTTTGGCAGTCAGATGATTTTCTCTTGGAGTAGTCTAATTGCATCAGAAAATTCCACCTGGTCGTCATAATTTGTGAAAGCCATGGATCTTTTGAGCAAATCCAAGTGAAAAAGGATCATGGCAAAAAAGGCAACATGGAGTTTTTGCTCCTCTTTTAGCAGGTCGGTTGCATCAATTGCAGACTTTGGTTCTGTAACGCTTTTGCACGAAAGAGAAAAATTGTGCTTTGTAGGAAGGTCAAATACATTTTGTGCTGTGGGTTGAGAAAATGGCATCAACAAGGGAAAATATGCCACTGTCAACCAGAAAAAATATGCCACTTGCTAAAATTCCAAGTGAAGAGTCCAGTCCAGTCCAGTTGGTTTTCAACTAGCAGTCTAGCCATGCCAACCAAACAATAAATTGACGGAAGAAGCTTTAAATCCAAGATTGGTTGCTGATTGTTGCTTCTTCTCATTATCTTTTGGGGGGTACTCAATTCAGATTGTACAAATCCATGGCATTGGCGGTGGTTTGATCCACCACTTGTTGCGTGCCCATCTCCAATGCGGCGGCAATAATTTCAATTCCCTGTTCCATGCTGGTCGGTACACGAGCCGCATCTTCATGGTCCGTCTCCAAGACGAGTCGTTCAATCCCCACTTTTTGAATGACATTCAGTGTCTTGGGGGATCGAAAGTTGATAATGGGTGCAAACCCAAAATAAACCCTTCCAATTTCTCTCCCACACAGTGCCAGTATTTGCTCTACCGTGGCAGCTTTGCCCCCGTACGCATGAAAGTAAAGTTTGGGTGGGAGCGATTGTTTCTTCTTTTTGCGTTTCTTGTTGGAAGAGGAGAATTGACTCAATACGGCAAACAAGGGTCCAAAACATTGTACCGTGTGAATACTGACGGGACGATCCAATCGAGCCGCCAGTTCCAGTTGCAGCCGAAATGCTTCGACTTGGCGTTCCATGGGCGACGTGAGTTGCTGGGTGGTGGGATCAAAATGAAATCCGTCCAAACCAATTTCTCCCACCATGGCATGTGGGTTGGCCACCAGCAACGCCTCCAACTCTTGAATCCATGTGGGCAAACTGCTGTTGTCGTTGTCGTCTACTTGCCAGTCTTGTAACGACAATTCATGCAGGAACCATGGATGGACTCCCAAACAGGGGACAATGGATGTGCTGGATGATGAAGATGCAACTTGGCTTGGAAGGTCTTTGGCTAGACTCAAGACAGTCTGGTAATCACGTGGATGTGTGGACATGATGGCCATGCCACTCAAACAACAACAACAAGTAGGCAAGATCTCTGCAGTTGCGCTGGATGGCAGCAATGCCTGGATCGGAGGGGAGGGTCCCATGTGGACATGGTTGTGGGCATCAAATGGAAGCATGGTTACTAGCAGTATTATTGGTAGCTATTGAGTAGTTGCGATTGGATTCCTGTATACGTTTGGCTTGCCTACAATGTCTGCGGGTATCGTTTGTAAATTTGACAGGATTGGCATGCCTCATTTATTTACTTCGCCATTGAGCTTTTGACAAGATCCAAGTCCTCCGGCACTACTTCAGTGGGGGAAGGTACTGTACCACCGGTAGCTGGCGAGGTCGGCATCAAGGCATCAAGGCCTTGACGCCTTGACAGCTCTTCGTACTTTTCCCAAAGTAGATCTATTGGTGGCCGATCAATTTGGGCATCTATTTGTCCTTTTCACTTTTTACAGCTCTTTTGGAGTTGCGGGAATACTACGGATTCGGGAAGAACTGTCCTTTTCCATGCTCGGAAGCGGATTTCCCACCCTCGGAAGGAGATTTTCCTTCCCAGTACATAGGTTGTGTAGGTTTCTACGAGAGCCGTAATCCGAACTCCTGGTCAAAATCGCCTGTGATCTTTCTCTGCTGACTCTATCCTTAAACAGGGTATTTTCCTTAAGTAAAGCTCAAGGAAAATCGCCTTCCGGTCTGGTGAAATTGGCTTGGGAGGGTGGCAAATCCGCTTCCGGTCCTGGAAAAGGACAGTTCTTCCCGAATCCGTAGTACCTGTTTTCGCGTGTTTGACAATGTTCAATTTCTTGCTTTTGGAAGAATGATGCAATCCGGAAGAATGAATCAAAATGGAAGAATGACTCAATGTGGAAGAATGACGCAATCTGGAAGGCGCTACGTAAAATCGCGTAGCAATTAGTACTGGGTGACGTAATCTGGAAGAAAGATGGAATATGGAAGATTGCTGCAATTCGGTAGCATGACTCAAACTGGAAGATTGACATAAACCAGAAGTTGCCCCAAAAGGAAGTACTCAAAAAGTCCATTCCCCGCAACTCCCTTTACTCCTTTTGATCGTTGCTTGATGTCGAATACTGGATCGAATCATTCGAATCGTGGGCCTAGAAGAATTAGGCGGTATCATAGGTTGTAGCACGCGGTACTACCGGTACTACCGGCAGCAGCAAGGCTTCAGATTTTTGCCAGAAGAGCTCCAGAAAGAGCTCCAGAATCCAGAAAGTGGCTTTGGGGCTCTCTGGACTCTGGACTCTATGACATGGGACCCCAACTGGCAAAATGAATCTTGAGAGACACATTCTGTGCTCAACACCAATAAGTGCTCTCATTGCATTTGGTAATCATATTCGTAATGATTTAGATGCCAATAAGGAAGAGAGCAAAGATGATGATAGATGATGATGACCTAGCGAATATAGGCCATATTTTCTGTTTGGGGACAGATTTTATTTAAATCAAAGAGACTCTTCAACATTCCTTGGGGTACTCTCTTAGAAATTCCGGATCAGTTACTAAATCCGCTTACGAGTCCGGTTGTGAGAAGGGAAACAATATGTTAATTAAAAATGAGCCTATCCATGTTCTGCTGGGTGCTTGTTTTAAGCAGCTTTGAAACCTAGTGGAGACCGTACCAGCGGGTGGCTGCTTCTATAATCCCCACTCACTTGGAAGCCATGACCACCAAGTCACCAAAGCGAGACCAAAGTGTAGGTTAAGGTTCCACCAAGGCTTCATTGATACAGTAGTTCGCAGTTCGCATTGCTGAAATCCTGAAATAAATAATCGTATGAAATCGTATGAAATCGTAACCTTCTGCCCTCTGCAGAACCCAGAAGCTGCTCGGATTTGTTCTTTAATTAAAAGTCATCATCGAATGGCTGGGACAGCACACAGACACAGTTCTTACGCAAAAAGGAGTAGTTGGAACGACTTTTAAGTAAAATAAATTTGCACGAATCGCAAATCCCAGATCCCAGTGGCTAATCGTAGAGAAGAGCTGGAGAAGACATGTTGAGCCTTTCCTGCTGCGTGAAGCAAGCGTGAAGCTGCGGGTAAACTTTGGAGGAGAGGTCGCCGGTTCGAAGCAAAGGTAAAGGCAAGGGAAACAAGCAAAGAAACAAAGGATCCGGTGGAGAGTTCACAATTCCAAAACGCAGATTCTCACATCCCAACCTACTACAACCAACAACAAAACCTTTCATCATGCCTCGTGTTACCTTTTCCGAAAACGAAGTTGCCTCTGTGCAAACATACCAGCGCCTCGACTGGGAACATGCACAAGAACTCTTTTACCAACCAGAAGACTACATTCAATTCCGAGCCGAGTACCGAGCCTTCAAAGCCCAAAAAGCCCGCAAGGAACGACTTGCCCGAATGACATACATGACAGCACAAGCTCGCAATGAACTGCAAAATAGAAATCAACTCAAGATGACCGTCTTGCCACCATCATCATTGAATCAGCAACCAATGCGTCGTCAGCCCAGGCAACCAAGAGGGTTCGCCTTGATGGCCTAAAAACAGACAGAAAAGCCGCTCAAGGACACTGCTATGAGTCTGCTATGTATCATTAACAAACAGTACCATACAAACTCTCTTTCTCGGGTTGACAACATTGTCAATTCGCTAAAGAAAGACATAATCAAAACTTTTATAAACAACGGGACTTTCTATCACTACTATATGCCATGGTTCCTACTACTGTTAGCTACAACAATTAGAAGCTAGCATGCTTCATTGATCGGCATTGGATACGGGTACTGTACTAAAGTCCTTGACTGCTTGACATGGTTCTTCAAAGGGGATCTTTGTTTGTTCTCATTACCGGAACTAAATCACCAGATTACACCATCACTGTAGATTAATAACTAAACGAAGGTCCCATTGATGCGGCACTGATCTTCACTGATCTTCGGGGGTGAAAACGAGCTTCCATTGTTGACCACCACTTGCTGTGCTTGATACACACTTGGAAGCAGTGCTTGCATTCGAAATCAGCCAGAAGCTTTCCATTGATCTTTTCCATTTATTTACCCTACAGTACCACCTACTTCAATGGCAACTCTTTCACTCCATGAAGTAACCACTATGTGATGGCAAAAACAATGCTGAAACTCAGATTTCATACAGTAGTCCTTCCTTCGCTGTAGGCAGGCAGGCAGCACCAGTATCCAACCACTGGGTTTATTTGCAGGTTTGCCGAATGAAGCCTTCCTGGTTGATATCCTTCAAATCAAAGCCCCCGCAACGCTAGCAAGGTCTGGCCATTCTTGTCAGCTTTGGGTGCCTGACTTGATTCTCCGGAGTTGACTTGCAGGCAATGGATCCTCTAAACGATATTCTGGTAGATCCACCTCAAATCGCACCATGTAGCTGGTGCCATGGGACTTCTCAATGACAGTTGCCCGTAACCATTTTCGAGTCTTGGAGTTTATTCTTGCTTCTACCACCTCCCCGACCTCAAATGTCGTCTTTCGTAATGATTGTTCCTTTTCTTTACAAGGTTGTAAAGCAGTACTGCGCGAGCAACTGTCCTTTGGTGGCACTAAAGACAAGAGCAGCCGTCTCCGTCTCCAGGTTGATGGTTTGGGGTTGGCTGATTGCTGTTGCGAGGCAGCCATGTTGGTCTGTGGTGGCGAGAACAGAGCATCAAGATTCAGGAATGTATTACACAGGGCTGATCTTGCCAATGTTCTGATTCGACATGGATGCCGAGATATGGATGAAGGTGCTGTCGTCGTCGATAGTAGCAATCGATGCATCCACACCCGTGTCTGTTCACGGGCTTGTGTGTTGGTCAGCTCGACCCAGTCGGCGTATTGATTTTGCATCATGACACGATGGGTTGCTCCTTGACCAGTTGTTATTGCTTGCTCCAGAACAGAGTCGACCATAGCATTGGAAAAACTCGAGGGGAAGGCAGCGAGGTACCACGGCAGAAAGTCCTGGGCGGCCGCATGCCACTGTCGATTGCCAGGTATCCACTGAAAGGCGTCGTCGAGGAAGTGCGGCCCCATCATGACATCGAGTGCCTGTGGTGACGCCAAACTCTGAATATATTCTTCAGTGAAAGCAGTTGTAGAAACATGGATTGTCGTTGTTGTCGACGTATTGATTGCATCTTGTGTGTATTGTTGAACAAACAAAAGTGCCAATGCTACCATGCCTCCATTCAGAATCACGAGACGGACCAATACAGTTCCCATGCCCGCCTTTCGGGGTGTTGAGCCATTCATAGTACCTGCTGGGTGCATCGTATTCAGGAGCATGTACAGATAGCCCCAACACCCCAGGACTGTGCAAATCAAGAAGGCAGCCCACACCCGCCACAACGTGTCTAGAACAAAGACTTGCCAGGGAGATAATGTGTCATGAAAATTGGCCTGTCCCACCAACAAAAGTGGGAGATGCTTGATAAACGGCATGAGGACCACGAGGGGCGGATCTCGAGTATTTCCCATGTGTCCTATACAAAAGGAAAAGTAATCCCACCCAGATTTCTGTGACGTCCATCCCAACGACCTCCACAAGTTCCTGGGGGGTGCCATGGTGGTGCTGGCGTGTGCCAAGTCCTGATGTGTAAATCCCATGTAGGTCCAAGGAATGACATATCCCGCCGCCAATGGAGGCAGTAGATTGTTGTTGCGAGAGGACACAAAGGACAGCACCATGGCTACCCTCGTGGGTCCTCCCGTGTGCGCCGTCCCTTGATGATGCAGGTGCGAATTGAACAAGAGGCCATCACCGGCCTTCCAAATAATAGTTCCATTGTCCAGTTGTTGTTGTAATGGTGAAAATCCCCACTCGTCGCATCCAGTACTATGAGAACAGTACTGTGTCCCCGCACAAATGGCCGTGGGTCCCATGGTGGCGGCGGTATCTTGGACCGGAATCAAGAGCGAATACAAGTCACTAAATGTATTGGCATATTGGAGGGAATCTCCTTGTTGTGTGGTATCCACATGCCACCCTTGTGCCACCGCTCCCGCTTCGGCGGTAATGGTGGACAATTCGACGAGCGCCGGGTTGGGCCCCAACAATCCTTCGAGCGTGCTTTGGAGTATCGTGTGGCGTCCAATCGCTTCCAAAAGGGGCGCAATGGATGGATCTTCGTCCACTCCAAAGGCAAAGGACCAGCGATGGTCATTTTCAATCACTCCCACAACGTCGACATTGCCCGTGTTTTCGTTGTTTCCCACAATTTGGTTCTTCTTCAATGCAAAGGATCGAAATTGTTGCAAGGTCGACCGAGACACGGAATCATCATTGAACAGGTTGGTGATCCATCCAGCTCCGTGTTTTCGCACGGTAGCCACTCGGTCTCTGGGGGAGGATGTCGGAGGTAACAAGAGAGACAAAGTTTGATTGGTAGTGACAACAGAGGCCGCGTCGCAGGAAACATCGTAGTGCGTCAATTCCCGTTCGGCTCGTTCGGGTGTCCAGGAATGCATTTGCATCCGTGGAAACCAAACCGTAGAATACAAGTAGAGAAGAGCATTTGTCAAGAGAAAGCATCCAAACAACAGACTCAAGGGGATTTCCACCAGTAGAATTTGAAAGAGGACTTTCAACCAGGATGGCAGAGTCAAAGGTTCGCCGCCACTCTGCGGTCCTGCTGCTTTCGCAGAGACGATTCTCTTGCGGACTACACGCCGACGTATCGTCGTCGTGGATGTTGTGGAGGAGACCGTTGGGTTCTTTCTGTCGCTACTGATACTGTCTTCCCCCATGTTTTAAAATGGTGATGCTCTTTGGATATTAGCACAGCACTGAGAGACGATTTACTTGCTTTGGATTGTTACAGCACGTTGTAGTACCGGTACTTTTTCCTTTTGGTGCTGGTACCGGTAGCTGTGGAAGCGAAGAGCCAAGGAAGTGTTGTGGCTGGAGTCCATGGCAGCTGTTCTCATAAAAGATTCAGTCGAATGGGTCGAGTGAATCAAAGATCTTTACACCCAACTTGGGCGAGCTCAGACAAACATTGGGTACCGGTACCATGCTGTATCGTAAAAGTATGGTACAGCTTCATGCACTGAACTAATGTATTTCAACCCATTCTTCTCCTCTTCCCATGGAGCTTTCCTACGGCAACGGTAATAGCCACTAGGCCTTCTCTTCGGAGTTGGGCGGGAGGGGATTTCTCCCCGAACGAGCAACTGCTCGTTACATTTCCATTGTACAGGTTGATGAGTTGGTGTTTGGTTGTGCCAGATCTGAGGCAGATTGCTAGAATTGAGTTTTATCGATTAGGCTGTTGCCCGAGCCGCGTTTGGGATTCGCCATTCAGCCTGACTGAGCCCTGACACCCTTAGACATTCTTTTCGTAGCCTAGAACCGGTACTACAGAAATTTCCTCCTCCGTCTTAATAGCTAAATGGCTGCGACTCTTCCCGCGCCAACTGGTATCTCACCGTTGTTGAAGAAGGCTCGACCAACGAAGACATGACATCATCCTTTCAGAGTTTTCTGTACATGTACCGTACTAGGAGTAAAAACTTATTTTTCCATGCGTTCTACCAACTATCAACTATGATTTCTCCACATTGTTTTAACCTCTCTACTAACGGTATCAATGTGGCACAAAGGTAGTGGTACCGGTGTCTAAGTGGTACGGTATGAAGGTGCTGGTACCGGTAGCAGTGAAAGGTAGCATGGGGCTTATGATAGCTGACTTATGGTTGGTCTTGGTTCAACGTTCCCTCTAGCTCTAGAGGCTCTCTCAATGTTTGAGTGAAGTCGTACTGTACTCGAAAGATTTTCATGCCGGCGACTGCAGTGGTTGCAGGTAGGAAGTGGAAGTGTGACCGCACCAGTACCTGATTTTAGAGCTGCCCATAGCTTGTCAGCGCTTCACTAGCGGAAACTGCTGCTACTCGAACTCTCTCTTCCAATAAATCGAAGAGAGACGAGCTCAAAGTTCCACGAAGGCTCTGCCAAGCTCGTACCGTACGGGAAGGTAGCGTTGACAAAGGGAGGCCCCTTTCCAATTACCGCATTCCTCTGGGTGCCATAGAGATCAACCAAGTACCGCAGTTTTAGCTTGTCTCAGGATCGTACCTTTGCTGCTAGGGCTTAACGATCCTGCAATCACGATTTTGTCTACTTTTCCTAGCCTCTGAGAGATGAGGGCTCTATTGATGATTCCCGAGTACTTGCCACACTATGAAAGCAATCTTTGGCTGTATAGGCTTTGCAAACGATGCTTCCCTGCAATCACGGAAGCCTACTTTTTCCTCGCCTCTCAGAGATGAGGGCTCTATTGATGATTCTCGAGTACTTGCCACACTATGAAAGCAATCTTTGGCTAGGCTTTGCAAACGATGCTTCCCTGCAATCACGGAAGTCTACTTTTTCCTCGCCTCTCAGAGATGAGGGCTCTATTGATCATTCCCGAGTATTGGCATCAATACCAACCCAATCTTCGGCTGGGCTTTCAAAAATACTTCCCACAATCACGGATTGTCTAATTTTCCTCGCATTTGAGAGATGAGGGCCCTATTGATGATTCCCGAGTATTGGAATCATTATGAGGTTCTCGATTGCTTTCTTCCTGAAACATTGGTTTACATGATACAATCAGCATAGCCACCTGCTGTGGCTTTAGACGAAGCAAACCTCTCCAAGGCAACACTGATTCAAGAGCTCACAATTTTTCTTGGTCCAGTCTCTCCACTGAAAAAAAATCAGGGAAAATGAAGCTTTCTCAGTGGGTACTTTGTGTCGTGCTGGTAGCTCTTGCCAGTTTTGGTGTAAGCGAAGATCAGCTGACCCTTCAGACGTATGGCGTCGGCTACGAATCTGAAGACTGCGAAGACCCAGCATTGTTTGGCGGCGCCGAGGCATCTTTGATGGATTGTCAATGCCGTGATGCCGGTTGTTTCTTGTTTGGTGAGGAGGAATTGTTGCCATCCGATGGAGGAGATACTCCGCTTGGGCGCAGGCTTAGAAAGAATACAAAGGTCGACGAAGGAGACAATCTGGTTGAGCGCAGGCTCGATACGACTACCCCAAAACCTACACCTCGACCCACCCCAAAACCTACCCCTAGACCTACACCAAAACCTACCCCTAGACCTACGCCTAGACCCACCAAGAAGAACACGAAAAAGAAGAAGAAGGCGAAGCGGTAAGTGATGCCCGGCCAGCCCACAAGGTCACGTGAACTTGCGCCTCACGGAAGACATTTGCGACCGGTACAGCAAAAGTAAAAAAGTAAAGAAGAGGAGGCCAAGAGGGAGACTTGGTTGGTGCCTTTTAGCCATTGAAACCGTCTGGGAAATTGCTGAATATGTCTTCTCTGATGATGACGATGATGGAGGACGATTTCTTCAGGAAGATGTGTATGAGGTGACGTTCAATGCAACATGCGACTCTGGCGTCTTTTGTGACCCTCACATCAAGCAGCTTGCGGGGGGATACTTCGATTACCACGGTGAGCCATTTTCCAGATCGATTGGGCTTGTCCTGTCAATCCCACTCCTCATGTAATCTGTCGTCATGGTGCAGGAGAATGCGACTTGGTGTTCGCACACGCCCCAGACTTTGGTCACGGTGTTGGCTTGGATATCCATGTTCGCACCACCATTCGATACCACTACAGCTTTATTTCGACCGCAGCAATCAGGATTGGCAATGAGACATTGGAAGTCACCGGGTTTGGTGAGTACGTCTTGAACGGAGTGAACGATGCTAAGTTGCCCAACACAATATCGGGCTACCCAGTTTCACACACGCAAGTGAACGATAAGAAACATGTATTCGGCATTGAGGTGGGCGACGGAAGTGTCATTGAAGTGGACACAATGAAGGATATGGTTTCTGTGGACATAGTCCCTGTAGACGGTTTCTTTGGTCCAGAAATGAGGGCGTGGCTCGGAAATAGCACAGGGTTGATGGGATCCCTAGACAACGTGTACATGTTGGCTCGTGACGGAGTTAGTACATTCGAAGACCCAAACGCTATGGGGCAAGAGTGGCAGGTTCGGGATTGGTAGGTTGCTTACAATCGCAGTCTTCGTACGAAAAGCCAGCTGCTCATTTGCAACGCTCCATGCTGCGATACTTTCCAGGGAATCAAAGATGTTCCAGAACCCAGATCGACCTCCCCAATACCCACAAAAATGCCTTCTTCCTTCCCTGGAAGCCAAAGAAAATCGCCGCCGCCGCCGCCGCTTGGGCGAAGGTGTCTCCAAAGAACAGGCCGAGAAAGCTTGTGGCCACGTACAAGAGGCAGAGAGGAAGAAGGCTTGCATGATGGACGTCATGGTGACGGATGACGTGGAACTCGCTGAGGGCTATGACTAGCTGATGATGATTCATTGCCTAAGGCCAAACAACATATGAGCGACGACGACACAGAAAGAGAAAAGGTCAACATTTATTTTTTACTTACCCGGATTCGATTGAGATTCAGACAAGAAGTCATTGTAGACAACCCGATGACACGTGGGAGACTACAACACAGAAAAAACAAAAACAAAAACAAAAAGCAAACTCAACGCGAGCGTCTATAATTACATTACATTACCTGCTGTAATCGGACTTGGACAAAAGGTGCTTGTGCGGACAACCCGAGGCCACGAAAAGAGCAAACGGGGATCGCAATCCCACTTCTCGTACCGGTACCGGTACGGTACCTTTGCACCGTACTCGCACTTACCGTAGCACTATTACCCAAAATTCAGTAAAAGCCGATTTTACTTATTAGTGCATTGCAGGCGTTGTCGCGATTGGCTGCCTCTCGTGCTTCAGTGTAAGTTTTGCCAAAACGAATCGAATCGAATCGAATCATTCGATTCAATCAATCAAACATATTAATATTTACTCATCACCGTCTGGTACCAATATGTACTTCATTGCTGGCCAGCTACATGTACTGGTACCGTACCAGACGCTGGCTGGCCAGAGAAGCCATATCCTAGCTTTTGCTTGGAACCTGCAGCTTCGACCAGAGCAGCAAGCTACCGCATTTCCCCCAAGCCGACATCGACAGAATGCACTTTCATTGCGTCACGTAATTTACGTGGATCCTTCGTATTGGACCTAGCTCGGAACGGACGGGCAGCTAGACTACTAAGTCTCGGCAAACAATGGTCCGAAATTTGCTTGCTATTCGATTCTTTAGCAACAAATAAATCTATTGTTTTCCAAATCAATTATAAAAAATGAAATACGATCACCAGCCAAAAAGTGAGTCCACAGCTGAAAACACGGAATGAGCAATTCCAGTCGAGTTGCTGCGCAGTTCCTGAGCCATGAACCGAAAAGAATAATATACCCTGCTGGCTGCTGCGCAACATTGAGTCACTACAGGTGGGTTATAGGATTGGAGTTCTTCGCTCTGCCTCTCAATCCAGTCAGAAAAGGCACTGACCCTCGTGTGTACATCAGTGCCGTTGCCACATAAATTGCGGTCTTCGATAAAGGAAGAAATGCCCACTTGAATTGCCAAGGGATATCCTGTGCCGGTATCCGCATAGTAAACCAGAGGGCCACCACTGTCACCTGAGAACAAACGACAAAGGGAGAAGCGTCCAATACATTTTGCGCCACGGCAAGTACCGGCACATGTAAGTAAAGCATCGAACAAATGGTACGGTACGTAAACTCCATTTTGGACTCACCTCTGCAGGCCGCCGGTGGCATCTCGGCACACAGCATGAATTCTTCAAGGTAGTTGGTTCCAATATTTGGACAGGTTTCATCGTAGACTTGTTGTTTCATATTCATGATGTCTGACGGATCACTATCATCATTGTTGAAGATGCCGAATCCATAAGCGTTGACGGCCACTCCGTCTGGAGGGATGTTAGGGTCGTTATTGACAGCAATGACATCTTGGGATACTTCAAATTCCAACTTAAAGACGGCAACATCAAATCGATTTGGTTGTTGGCCATAATCTGGATGCTGTCTGCAAGAACCCTCTACGACATTGACCTTTGTACCTCCCGGGTTGTTCCCTGAATCCTCGGTTCGCAAACGAGGTCCCACCCGAACATTGAAGGGGCAACCATTAATAAGACAATGAGCTGCAGTTAGGACGACTATTTATAGATGTCAATTCAATAACCGATAGAAGGAGAAGGAGAATAAGAAGGAATGAAGCAGGTTTGAAGCACACATTTTGGCCGCCCAGGTGCTTACTATTGGGTCTGATCAGGGTTGCAGCGCAGTATGCTGTTGACCTGACCAGCCTGCCATCTCTTTCAAATATGATTTCATTCAATTCTACGAACCACTCTAAAATCCCTCCGACTGGAACCCCATCAATCAAAGTATTGTTGACTTCAATGGTGGTCACTTCCTCACTCTCGCGTTGGAGTTGTCGCAGCAGACTGTGGCTCAAGCTCTTGTAGGACGACGGAGAATATTTTCCCAAGACAACAAAGACAAGTGCTAGAAGCACAGCAGCTCCGATTCTGAACGGTCCATCCAGCATCTTGGTGTTTGGGACGATGAACACTTCTTTGTTGTGGTGGTGGTTGGTGGTTGTGTTCCCCGCTTTCAAGGGATGGAAATGTGAGAGCCCGTAATTTGTGGTTAACTCAACGCCAGTCATGGTACTTAGGAGCCGATGTCGGAAAGCGTTGAGCGCGGGCTGGACGTGGTTAAGTGCTCGAAAAGTAAACTTCAAAAGTGGAGCCATCTTCCCATCCTTGTTGCCCCCTTTGTCGAAACCTCATCTTCAGAACATCACACCAGCGGTCCAGCCCGGTGCTTGTGAAGACGATGATGTTGACTTCAATTTGTGCACCTCTGCTGCTTCTCGCCTTTCTTCTTCTATCCTTGTGCGCTGTTGCCTCAGCAACACCAACGGACTCGGAAACGGAGCATAGTGGCGACAACCGTTTGCGAGGATTCCGAAAGGACGAAGATCGTTGGCTGGATGCTAGCCCAAGAGTTGTGGGGGGTGTGGACACTCCCTTTTCTCGAACATGGATTGCTGTTATTGGCACCAGCAGTAGCCCAAACCAATGTCATGGGACACTTGTAAGTGCCGACTTTGTACTGACAAGTGCCACCTGCATTTCCAGTGCGTTTGGTGGTATTCCATCGAGGGTGGTTGTCATGCCAAATGACAACAACATGAGGACATCCCCAATAAGTGTGGCAAACCATTTCATCCATCCATGCGCTGACTCCAGCAGATTCAGGTGGGATGTTGCCTTGCTCAAGCTAGGCACCGTGTTGAGTTCCGCCTACGGTCCGGTAACATTTGCGGATTCAGACACGCAAGTTTTTAACGGCAACTACCTCAGGATTATTGGTTTTGGAGCCGCAAGTGACAGTGACAGAACCTCAGCATCCCCTGCATTGCAAGAGGCAACTCTGTCATATGAACGCCTATGTGGATCGAGCATCCCTGGATATGATGCCGCGACCCACTTGTGTGCTAATGCTCCCAATACGACAGATGTGGGACCCTGTGATGGTGACAGTGGCTCTCCTATTGGCCTCACAGACTTGGATGCTACTACAGGAGCTTTTACCCAAGTTGGTATCTTGACGGGATTCTATCGCGACCCAAATACTGGTTCAGCACGGTGCGGAGACGATACCCATTATCACCTCTACACGAGGGTCTCATCAGTGTCTAATTGGGCAAAGACGATAATATGTGTAAGAATTGTCTGGTGGTATGATCTGTGTTACGTTTTCTTGTCGTCTTTCTCATCTTCTATTATGATCTGCTTGTGAAAATAATATGCCAAACATCAACGTAACAATCAAAAGGACAATACTGCTGAAGCAACAAAACCCTCTTTTTGCAACAGTTTTGATAGGGATGGTGGCGGTGGCGTTTGCGCAACGTCTGGTGGTGACCCTCCCCCGTGCGCTCCACGAGAATGGTTGCAGCAAGCCGCAAATCAAATCACATCCTTTGTCGGTGAGGGTTCCCAGCAAGTGTTTCGTTTCTTTGGAGGAGGCGTGTAAAAGGCGGTATGAAGATACCAAAAATACTCCTGGGTGCGGTTCACATTAGCTTCAGGTCGATCCTGTCACTTTACGCGTTTTCTGTCCACTGGCTGCATGCTGTACCTCGGCTTGCTGACATCTATCTCGTATAATATCTAACAAAACTTGGCTGGTTGCTTTCCGGTTACAAAGGGGCTCGAAGAAAATACTAGCTACTAGCATGCAGAAGCAGCACCATCTAAAACTACTAGCAGTGTTTTCAAGTCCGACGGGACTGCTCAGATCGCTGTGTTTGCACCGACGTAGAAAGGCAATCGATCAGCCCATGCAAGCAACCAACTATGGAGCTGATGTGCAATTTGCGTTGGACTTCGTTACAGGACACCGCAGCTTTGACCCGAAACTCTCGCCATTGGCCCTCTTGCACACATTCGTAAGAACTGAGTGACTTCGACGACCTGAACCGTGTCGCTTTTTGCTGTGAAGAACCCCCCGATACCACTTTCCCACGTTGGCTACGGTAGTACCTGGGACTAGCTAGCTAGTAGAGCACCAAGGAGCGGTTCGGTACGGGTTGATCTTGGTGTACGGTATCGACGGTAGTAGGCGCTTCGGACCTTTACAACCTCAAAAGTGGTGAACCTCAGTCAATCCAACTGCTGCGTCAAACCGTTGGAAAGTTTACTTAGCCGAGAGGTGGGACGTGGATAATCCTCCAGACAATCCCACAACAGGCCAAAACACAACACCCAAGGAGCAACATCTATCTTATCTTGACGATGACCATGTTGTCACTTCTGCTGGTAGTCGCTGGCTGCCTCCTTCTGGTCGTACCCTTGTCTGCGGTAGACGCCCAGTTGCCAGAGTCAGAGCCAACCGAGAGAAAGCAGAACGGGTTCCATGGCCATCATCGTCTACGAGGACAACGTCAGTTGGACGCCGGTCCTCGAATTGTTGGCGGTGTTGACAGCGGCCAATTTGAACGGACATGGATAGTCATGTTGGGCACCAGTGGTAGACGCAACCAGTGCCATGGGACTCTGATTCATCCGCAAATTGTCATGACCAGTGCTACTTGCATTTCCGATAGCTTTGGTGGTTTTCCATTCTCAGTGGTAGTCCGGCCAAATGACAACAATATGAGGCAACCTGTTACTGCCATAGATTCCCGCACTCATCCCTGTTACGATCCCGTAAACTACAAGTTTGACATTGCTCTGGTCAAACTCAATGTGGCCATGCCTGCGTCTTGGGTTGTGGAGTGGGCCGGGTTTAATGGTAACCGACCAGGGCTATTCGATGGGAACTTTCTCCGAATAGTTGGTTTTGGGGCCACCAATGAGACCACCAAGAGCATGTCGTCCCCGGCATTGCAAGAGGCGTCACTATCGTACGTGCGGAATTGTGCTCCGCGAGAAACAGGAAACCAAGGGGAGATTCGTGGGATTCCTGGATACGATAGAAACACACACTTGTGCGCGGCTGCAGCCAACTCCACCGAAGTGGGGCCCTGTAGTGGCGACAGTGGCTCTCCCATTGGACGCCTGAACCTGGACATTGGTGCCGAGTTTCTCCAGGTTGGTATCTTGACTGGTTTCTACCCAAATCGTGCCACCACCACCTGTGGTGAGACTTCCCATTACTATCTGTATACACGGATTTACGAAATGTCCAACTGGATCAAGATTGAACTATGTGTAAGTCAAGGAGCGAGTCTTGCTGTATGCGTTGGTTGCTTGTATGTCTCTTCTTCTAACTTTTGCTTGCTTCTAAAACAACAGGTTCTCGCCGGAGCATATTGCAATGCTCAATTGGATCCTGAGATCCACAATGGTCGTACCTGTTCCACCGCTGCCAATCCCCCATGTGCTCCCCGGCAATGGGTACAAGCCGCCGCCAATCAAATCACCAATTTTGCTTCTGGATTCACACAGCCAGTATCTCGATACTTTGGTGGTGACAGTCCGTGATTCCCATACCTCTATGGTAGTACAGTAGTCATTCATTTATTCATTCATTAGTATGATGTTGTTATAGGTTCCAAAACTAACTATGGTATTGCATGGTAAAGGCAACCACATCAACAAACTAAAACATACACGGAGAACATTTGCTATGCATCTAAAGATACCGGTACGGTAGACTGAACCAAGAGCAATGACAATCAAGTGTGGTTTCAATTAGAAACTGCAATATTCATTACCAGGCGTGTCTGGGTGTAAATTACTTTTCATCATTTGGATCTTTTTTACCTTTGACATTGTATTTCAGATCTCGTTCGTGCACCGCTGGGAAGTTTGAAATCATTCCTTTGGTTGCAAGACAGACAACAACGGCCAACCTGCTAGCCGGAGGTTTGTGGATGGCCTCTTGCATTAGTCTAAATGCTTGAGGAAAGAACGCTCTACATCAGTGTCAATACTACAGAAGCTAGCTAGCTAGCATTGGGTGGTGTTTGTGCGAGGAGAGATCTCAGTTAGTTGTTGTTAGTGTTAGAAAGTAGAAAGATGTCCAGCGGCAACACTGCCAACACGGCCACTGGCACGTCCAGTGCGTCTGGGACGCCCAAATCCAACACCAATTCTTCTTCCGCCACGACGAGCGGGAAATCAACGATAGCCAAGGAAGTGTCTCACTACGTGGTGACGGCTCATCCTCCCGGTGGAGTATTGTTTACTTGCAAGGGTCATTTTGTGGCATCTCATGACGCAGCGTCGACGCAAGACGTGATTGTGGCCAAGAGTCGTCGTTTGGAACTACGAACCTGGCAATCGTCTTCCAACAACAGTACTACTAATGCTAATTCGACAACAACGTCCAACAATGATGGCGGCGGCGGAGACCACAACAAGACGTCTCTCTTTCCCGTCTTGGCAACGACACCGATTCATGGTCGTTTGACGTGTCTCCAAACGTTGAAATTGAAGAAAAGCAGTGTCGACATGATCTTTGTCACGACGGATCGACATCAATACGCGGTCCTCAGTTATGAACCCACCATGAGACCCTATCCCTTTCGCACGCATGCCAGTGGACGATTGCCGTCGGGAGAGGATCCATCCTTGTTGGGCAGACGATCCGAAAGTGGACCTCTGGTCGCCATGGATCCTCAGCATCGCTGTATTGCACTGCATTGGCTCGATGGACTCGTCACCATTATTCCCATTGATCAAAATTACAATCCTCCACTCGAAACAACAGCAGCAGCCACGGACAACATGCCGGCATATTGGCCCAAAGCGGCGTCTTCACAAAGCAACAGCAATAACAACAAATCCTGTCTCAAGGAACCCTTTCATGTCCGCATGGAAGAGCGGACGCTCCTCAATATGGTCTTTTTACAAGCCAACAACTCTAGTGCAAATAGTGCAAGCAGTGGAAATCTCAAGACGGACGAAGGCACAGCAGCCGATGTGCAAATTCCTCCTCAATTGACATTGTTGCATCAAGATTCCCGGGGCACGCAACACGTGTACACTCATTCGGTCGATCTGCGCAAACATTCCTTTTCGGCCGGCAATTTGAAACGCAGTCGCGTCGATGGGGGCAGCAGTTGGATGATTCCCGTCCCTGCCTCGCGGCCTATTTTGCAACCACCACAAGGAGACGCTGCTGCTACTACTAGCAACAACAATACCACTACCACAACAAAACCCAATGGGACCATTACGTTGGGAGGTGTCATTGTCTTGGGACAACGACAAATTACCTATGCCAATCCGACCACCACCAAAGTCACACCGGTACCACCCTGTCTCTTTTTGAGTTGGGATGCCCTCCCGGATGATCCCAAGGGAATGCCACGATACTTGCTCGCGGACGAATTTGGGAATTTGCATTTGCTCAGTTTTCTAACGTATCATGCCCGGATTGTGGCACTCACGCTGGAAACACTCGGATCGTGTGGACTTTGTCATACACTCCAGTATATTGGAGATGGATTGACATTTGTGGGAAGTACACTCGGGGACAGTCAGTTGGTACAGATTCACGAAGAACCCATTCGCAGTGGACCGAAGGACACCCGGCGGCCACCACGAACAACAATAATAATGCCATGGAAGACGATCACAGTGTCGACGATGCCACCACGACTGCGGCCGGGAATACCAGCAACAACAACAATAGCAGCAGCGGCGACATGGATTGGATGGTCGACAGTACCTATCTGACCGTGGTGGAAGAATACACCCATCTGGGTCCTATTGTCGATTTTGATTTGGTCCCCACGGCACCTGGATTGGCCAATAATACCAATACCAATCAGCCCTCGCAGGTCGTCACGGCCAGTGGAACATCTCGTGCGGATCTATTCGACTCATTCGCAATGGTATTGGCATGAACGAGTATGCCAGTGTCGAAATGCCGGGCATTCAAGCCATGTGGAGTGTCCGCGAAAATTACGCCAGTCCGCAGGATGCCTATCTCGTACAGTCGTTTGTTGGACAAACGCGCGTCTTGGGTGTCACCACATTGACAGACGACGACAGTCAGCAAGACGAGCCGCAAGACAAGACCATGGAGGAAAGTGGCGACGACGATGATGACGAAGAAGCGGGAGGAACCTTGGAAGAAGTTGAATTGCAAGGATTGGATGCGAATGCTACGTCGTTGTATGTGGGAAATGTACAGCCAGGAGATGGATTGTTGCAGATTACAGAAGCAGAAATACGATTAATCTCGCTTCCCAATAAGGAAGGAGGAAGTGTTGGTGAGGTGTTGGATACCTGGACGCCTCCGGGTTCGGCTGGAATGATCACTGTCGCGGCTGGGAATGAAGCAGGCCAAGCCGTAGTGGCCACACCAGGTGGAACCCTGTGGTATTTGGCAGTCAACGAGGATGGCACAAAGCTCGAGTCGTTGCATCAGAAGCAAATGGATCGAGAAGTTTCTTGTTTGGATGTGCACCCCTTTGCAGGCGGCAATAACAGTGACACCATGGACGCTTCCTCTTCGGACCAACCACGACAACGATTGCCACCGAAAAAGAGCTCCATTGTGGCCGTTGGATTGTGGGATGATTTCACAGTTCGTCTCTTGGCACTCAACAACGATTTGCAGGAACTCCATCAAATCCACCTCAGTACGGATGATGAAGAGGAGGAGGAGGAGGACCCATCTGCGATGATGAGTGCGGAAGAATCGGCAATGGCAAGACGACACCGCAACAACATGATGGCACGGTCCTTGTGCTTGATCACGCTAGATGTGAGTAGTAGCAGCAGCAGCCATCACCACGGCGGTGGAGGAGGTCATTCCTCGTCACTTGGCAATGCGCAAGGCGTGGATATGTTGTTTGTGGGATTGGGTGATGGAACGGTTGTCTCCTTTGCAGTGGTGGTGATGGCCGAAAATGAGCGTGTGTCGGTGCAGTCCAAAAAGGAAGTCTGTTTGGGAACCCAGCGTATCAACCTCATCCCCTTGCAAACAGAATGGGGTGGCACGTGTGTCTTGGCAACTGGTGACCGGCCAACAGTGATCTACCTTGCTGGTGTCGGCAGCGGCGCAACTCCCGGTGGCGGAAGCACTGGCGCTACGGCGTCGTTCAATCCTAAACTGTGCTATTCCAATGTCAACTTGCAAGTATCGGATGATGAAGAAGCAGAAAACGTCAGTCGCTCTGCTTCCCAGCAAACTATTGCGGTCAACGTAGCGGCGCCATTCTTCTCCAGCCTTCTCTTTGATGCTGGATCTTTGGGATCGCAGTACTATTCCTTGTGTGTTGCCGATGATGCGAATTTGAGACTGGGAGTGATTGATGACATTCAGAAGCTTCATGTCACCACCTGTCGCTTGGGGATGGCTCCTCGTCGAATTGTGCACTGCCCCGATGCCCGAATGTTCGCGGTTGGATGCATTGAGAGTGGCATCAAACAACTGGGGCTGGGCGGAGAAGAGCACAATATGGGCAACTGTGTCCGGTTCTTGGACGACACGACCTTTGATGACATTGAACGGTAAGCTTCACTGGTTTGCGCTTTTGTTGTTAGTTAATTTGCCGTCTCACAACTCTTGCAACTCTCTAGCTTTGATTTGGAGCCGTATGAAATGATCCTCTCCATGACTTATGCCAGCCTTCGCGTTCATTCGCCAACATCATCTGCATCTACTGCGACAGACACAGAAGGCGGTGTCAATTCTGGCGATCCCACCGGTGATGGATCCGGGGCTTCCAACTTTCGAACGTACTTATTGATTGGAACTGCGTATGCCTTGCCGGACGAAGATGAACCGACGAGGGGCCGAATCATGGTCATGTCGTGTGGAGGAAGTGGCATGGAAGAAGAGGCAGCCACTTCCAACAATGCCCGGGCCATTCGACAAGTCACGGAACTGCAGGTTCGAGGCGCGGTGTACTCCATGTCTCAGTTCTACGATGGAAAAGTTCTTGCTGCTGTGAATTCAAAGACTCAGATTCTTCAGTTGACGGACGATGTCAATGCCGGCGGCATGAAGCTGAACTTTGTGGGTGTTGGCCATCACGGCCACATTTTGAGTCTGTTTGTGAAGAGCCAAGCGGGTCGTCAGGCCTCTCTCGCAGCCTCCCCAGCATCAGGCGAGGAGCAGAAGGGTCCGGCGGCTGTTGCTTCGGTCCCTATGGACGTGGACAATCCGCACAAGAAGAAAAAGCCAGCTCCAGCCTCGGAGCAAGAAATGCTGGCAATCGTTGGCGACTTGATGCGGTCTATTTCAGTCGTCCAATACTATCCTCAGCACGACACATTGGAAGAGATTGCTCGCGATTTTAACACGAACTGGACCACAGCCATTGAAATGCTCAACGACGACGTGTACCTTGGAGCCGAGAACTGGAACAATCTCTTTGTGCTCCGTCGCAACACCAAGTCTCAGAGCGAGGAGATTCGCTGCCGCCTTGACACTATTGGAGAGTTCCATTTGGGGGAGATGGTGAACAAGTTTATGAAGGGAAGCTTGGTTATGCCTCACAGCAGCAACAGTGCAGCCAATACGAGGAAGTCGACGCGTCGAGGAAGCGTTACGTCTCCAACAAAGAAAAAGACCGCCGATGGTACGAGTCCATCCAAGGGTGGGCAAGGTGCAGCTGTGCGCATTCGCCGTCCTCCTGTCGTGATTGGTAGTCAGACGCTGTTTGGAACTGTGGAGGGAACTTTAGGTTGCATTCTTGGCTTGGATGTTCGGACTGCGGCATTCTTTTCGTGCATCGAGCGAGCCATGACCAAGGTTATCAGGCCTATTGGAGACTTTGGCCACCAGAAGTTCCGTGCCTTCGATGCTGAGCGACGAATCCATCCTCATCATGGATTTGTGGATGGGGATTTGGTCGAGTCGTTTTTGGACCTCGACCGTACGACTATGGATGCCGTCGTCAAAGAGATGAACAGAGATGGAGGTTGGGAAGTAGATCGAGGTACCATGTCTCCTTCAAGTGGCCGTGAGGGAGGATCAGGTGGCGACAAGGGAGATGCCAACCCTGACGTCGATCCTGTGGATCACCCTGAACTAGTAGTGGAGGACGTGGTCGCTATGGTCGAGGAAATGGCTATGCTCCATTAGTTTAAACTCCCAACTCCCAACCGTCTCAAGACGTGTAAAAGTTAAACTAAACTAAACTCTACAAGGCATTATCAGCACAGTAGTCATTTTTAGTTGTGTACCCATACTCGCTCGTCCATAACGATTGCTCGAGACCGCATCAAAGCGGATTGTTGCTGGTTTGGGGTTTGTGGATTGGATTGGATTGGATTGGGGCTCTTACGTCAACTTGGGCATGAAAGATCCCACGACGTTCTGGTACAGCTCACCCCTCTTACTCCAGCGCTTTTCCTTTGAGTTGGCATCCAAACTCCAGACCTTTCCTTTGTTGACGCAGAGTTGAAGCAGCTGATGTGTTCCATCACTTCAACGCACAAAAAAAAGAACACAGGTTAGCGACAAATTTAACACGAAACCTCGTGAAGACCGGCCAACCAGAGAAGTGCCAAAACTCACTTGATTGCAAACTCAAACTTGTAGAACAAAATTCCATCTGTCATTCTTTCTTCTGCAGCGACAAGGCGAGCATCTCGCTTAGCAGCCAATGAATCTCCAACTGCCTTCACTTCTCCCAAGGCATCAATGGAGGTGGTTGAAGACTTTACCGGAGAACTGGTGATCTTGACATTTTCAGAGGGATCCACCAAATCTTGCCATTTTACGTCATAGGCTCCCACTTCACCCTCAAATTTGTTCCAACCACTGGGTGCCAAGATGCGAAATCCACGGGGACCATCTTGGAACGGTTCCTATTATTTGACAAGAGAGAAGGTATTGGTGAGGCTCGGTTTGGAAAAAAGAGATGGTCCAAGTCTTCAGAGTGATTCTGTCTTACCAAAAGTCCTCCCATTCGAGTGGTGACTCGAGGAGTCTCTTCGGAAACGGCAGCCACAGCAAATTCTGGCAGAACCACCGTCGTCGCGATGCCTGCCGCCGCTGTCCCGATGGCTTTGTTGAGGGCATTCCGCCTGGACAGCTCGACCGAGAAAGCTTCACTGTTCGGGAGAAGAGCTGCAGCCAAAAGGCAGAGGGAAGGAAGGATAGTCTTTGTCATTGTATTCGAGGGTTTCTAGTTAGAAAATGCAACAGTTGGTTTGGCCACAAATCAAGAGTGTGGTGAAACGGTGTCCATCATCTTGGTCAGACTGGGAAAACTGTCAGCCAGGATTTGTGAAAGATACCCCGATGAGTCACTCGTGACCTGACTCTTCTTCGGCACGTCAGTGTTCTAGAGTCAGCCAGCAGAGCTTCGATAAAAGGCATCTAACGTTCTAGCCGGAGTACCGTACCACTCCCTACATTCTCTAGCTAGCTAGAAGACAGGCAAGAGGTATTTTAAACAGGAGAGGTACAAGTAAGATACTCCCTGTGTTCCCGATCCTGCTTCCGAGGATCATTGGCTGGTTGGGAAGACTAACATTTGACTTTTCAAAAATAGCATTACTATATAAATCCAAGACTAAGAACGAGACTGGTACTGTAAAGTACATGTACCGTTTCTTGCCATTGCGGGCACACGGTCCTCCCTCCTTCTGGACTTTGACTCGCTGCAGCCGATTTGATTTGGATCACCATTGGTGCAGATATCATGAGCGATCAAAAGATCAGAGTGAAGGAACTGGTGAGAAGATTTGCTCCACAAGAAATCAAACATGATTTCACGGGAAACGATACAAAGATAACCTCTCGTCGGATCTCTTAGCAGTCCTTGAAAACAACCCTAAGCTGAAGACAGAGTCACACTGACGTCTCTGCGAGACTAGCTAGCAGATAGTAGAACGAACCAGGGATTCCCAAAATCCCCCGGAGACAGCGCGAGTCAGCTCCCTGAGTGTATTGTATGTATTCGTTCGGCGCCTGTGCAAACAGTGCACTGTGCACTGTGTAGCTTGTTTTTGTCGCATCATACTCTTTCCCCCCTCACCCACCACCACCACCACCACCACCACCACCTAGACAACCGCAACATGTCGATTGTTCCGCGGATGATTGAAATTCATTGCCCCGAATGACCAAATGCCAACTGGTTTGTATCCCCGCCACTCCCAGCAGTCGTCCCTTGCAAAAGTAGAATTTGTTGACGTAAAAGTTGTCGACATTGGGAATGGTGTAGGAGAAAAAGTCCCCTTGCCACTGGGTGTTGCTGGGCCGTGTCTCGATCACTTGTCCCGACGCAAATTCCAATCGAAGGGAATGAAAGGATGGATCTTGGAGGAGCAGTGACGACCCTGCGCTGCTGTTGTTTCCGTAGAGCCCACTCGGAGTTGTATTGTTGGACAATGTCGATTGCTTTTGTTGGTATCCGGCGATTTTGACCAAATAACCGCCAGGTTGATGAATCTTGTGATAATAGTCGGATCGTTCTCGATAATGTTGTTTCAGATCCAGTTTGGTCGACTTTTTGTTGCTGTTGCTTGTTTTGCTGGAGGATGTCAAGGATGATAATGGTAGGGATCCCGCCGAGGATGCCAACACAAAGGGCCCTTCCAAATGATCATCGTGGAACTGCACCACGGCACCGTTGATTTGATACATGCGATCGGCGAGGCAAATGGCTTTCATCATGCACTTGTTTATGTTGGTAGGTGGTGGCCTTATCCGAACTTGCAGTGGTTCTGGAATCCACGGGATATTGGCCTGAATGGATTCGGTTTCCCACGACGACAAGCGATCTTTGGAAGGTGCGGCACTCTGTTCCATTGCTTCTGCAGTAATATTAGGAATGTGGTGATTGTAGCGATAACTTTCCCCCACGAAATGATTGACACGTTGTGATGGTGGTGGTTTGACTTGCGAAGCTGATGACCTTCGTCTCCGTCGTAATGGTGGTGGAGGAGCAGGAGAATTTCGAAAGAACTGCGATGTTTCTTGTTCGCTTTCGGAGGATTCAAATTCATCTTCTTGTTGCTGTTCTTCCGGTTGTTCTCGTTGTTTCATCAAGGTTTTTCGAATATCTTCATTGACACCAGTGAGAACATCATCCAGTGGTATTTCTCCCGCCGTCATGGCTCCCTTGTATCCCAGACACATGCCATCCTCGAGTACTATTTCATTGAGACAGTAATACGGGGCAAACCGTGTCGTGGCCGTACTAAATTCTTCTCCCTTCCAATGAGCGTTGCGCCCTTGGACTCGCATCGTTTGTCCGGAAGCAAAATCCAGCTGAATCGAGTAGCAGAGAAATTGCGAGGATGCATCGTGATCGTACCCGGGACAACAACAATGGCCCGAGACGCGTTTGATGTATCCCAGGGGGTGTTCCACGTCTTGCCACAATATGTAATCGTCGCTGATCTCGTCAATGGGAAGCTTTTCGCCACTCCCACTCAACAGGCACCCTCGGCGAGAACCATCGCGAAGCTCAAACAGGACGCCCTTCACGGCCAAGCCAGCACTCAAACACACTCGAGCGATCGCATACTGCTCCAATATCACGCTCGGATTCACTATCGATTCATCCAAACTAGACAAGTAGATCATGGCTTGCCTTGACTGTTGTTACAAAAATAAAGAAGAAATGAGCTCGGTTGATGCGTCGCCGTTGTCATCTGTGCTGTCTCCTGCCTCTGGAACACCCCAGAAGGCATTCCCCTGAATGTGAGAACCTTGTGCCAAAACAAGATACTTAACAACAACCAGGAATCGAAAGGATTTAAAAGACTAGAAAAAGCTTTAATAGTATTTGTACCAGTAACGGTACCGCTGGCTCTTCTGCAACAGGTACCGGTAAAGAGGTTCACACAAACTTGGATTTGATACATGGTTGGAAAACGCTGGGTACATGGTTGGAAAACGCTGGGGCATCACATGCTCGACCTCCGCCTCGAGGGCGAGAGTCTACAAGTACATTCTTTGTTTGCTGTGCATTTCCCTGCAACCAGGTACCAGATCTGGCCTTGCTTGCTGGCTAGTTGGGTGCCCCCTATCAGTGTCATTGGAATTATGGTCGAGGCAATCCCCACTGCGGTACCGGTATCCTTCCTCTCTGGGAATGTGGATTGACTCCAGCAGAGTTCCTCCTCTGAGACGTCCCTTTCTTTCTCTCTTTTTTCGATGGCGACGACAAAAGCCCCTTTCGGACATTCTGCATCCAATGCACCACGCGGGCATTGGATGTCACGGACAGCCCCAGCCAGCACAATCCAAAGTTGACAAGATTGAGGGTGATTAAGTGCGATACCACTGCATCAAAGTTGACACTACTCAACCCAAGCGCCGCCAGTGTCTCATCTCCATTCTTTACCAAGGCGAGACCTCCCATGCGTGGCAAGTCTCGAACTTGGCGAAACATGGAATTGGCAAACTTCACACCTGCAAATTCGCCCACCATGGATGCCTCGATCGCCGCAGCAATGGGACTCAGTGCCTTGACCCATTGCAGCACTAGTGGATTGTTGTGAATTTCATTTTCATCCACACCACTGGGATTGATCACTCCCACCGACATGAAGAGAATCACAATAGGCATGGCCAAAGTTACTGCCGCTTGTTCCCCTTGAGTGATTCCTCCCAACAAAAAGCCCAGCGATGCCCCCGAGCATGTCATCAAGCTAAAGATCATCGACAGGGGTTTCCATTCAATCGCCAAGCCAGTGACAAGTTTCAAAGTGGTGGTAAAGACAACCGTAAAGGCCGCGTCCAACGGAAACTCCGACAAGGCTTTGGACAGAATGTATTCCAAGTTGGTGTAGTCGTTGCGATTCCTCTCCCGTTGCACGATTGGCTTTTCTTTGGAAAAGATATCAATGGTTTTCACCACGGATACCAAAAACATGTTGATGACTCCAAATGTCAAGACACAGATCCGATCCGTCACACTGTTGTTGGTGGGCGGGAGGCCTTTGGCGGCGGCGACCGAGGGAAAGATCTGCGACAGCAAAATGGCCGTACCACTGGAAATGGCAAGACGCCCCAGGTTGAGGCTGACACTGCGGTACGTTTGTCGCCAAGATCGTCGAAGCAGGGCCCCAAAGCGGCGGATTGTCGTGACCGGGGACCGACGTCCTCCAGTTGACGGCGATGAGCGGCGGCTCTCAGTGGGTAATGACAGCCGAAGCGCCTTCAGTTGCTTCGGCAAAGGGCGATTGTATCGCTCAAACGCCGATGCCAATCGATCAATGCGATCTCTGTCTATGATGGCCTGCAGAGGATCCTCTGTATCCACAGAGACTAGATCAATAAAGTACTCGGCTGGATTTGTCTCATTAGGGCAATTGTATCCCAAGGATGCAAAGTAGGGCACCGAGTCATGACACGATCCCACATAGCAGACGCGTCCACCCGGTGCCATGAGGATGAGAACATCCAGCATGTGCCATATAGACGACCGTGGCTGATGGAGGGTGCAGAAACAGGGAATGTTTTGTTTTTTGGCCAATGATGCAATGGCTGCCATGACAGTTTCTGACATTTTGGAATCGATCCCTGTCGTTGGCTCATCGCAAACGAAGAGCTGTGGTTGGGTCTGCAACGTCGTAAAACAAATAGGGAAGAAAGTCGGAAGAACTGATACACCAAGAATACTGTTCCAGATTGCTCTTCTATATAACGTACCACAAGCTCCAATGCCACGGAAAGTCGTCTTAGCTCTCCACCACTGAGAGTGGCCCCGTTTGAAGCTCTTGCTTTTGTTGGATTGCCCACTCTACGTGACCTGACCTTGGTCAAACCCAGGGCTTCCAAACAGGCTTGAGCCATGCCATCTCGTTGACTCTTGGGGAGCAGTGGCCACTCCAAAAAGACGGCCAAATCCAAGGTTTCCTGGACCGTCAATTGCTCGAAAAAGGCATCTTGTTGTTGTAGCCAAGCTACCGTGTCTGGGAGCACTGGACCGCACGAAAAGTGACTTGCCGACCTTGGATCCTTGAATTCGCTTTGCCTGTGATGTTGAACAAATCCGCCGACGGAAAGAGACGCTTCTTGGCGACCAGCCATGATGGACAGAAATGTGGACTTGCCACTTCCGGCTGAAGCAAAATAGAATTCGCAACAACCGTGAGAAAAGAAAATTTGAAAGAACAAAAATATCCTCAAGAAGATCTCTCACTTACATGGGCCCAGAATCCCGCAGACTTGACCGTTTGCAACAAACCCAGAAGATGGGTTCAGAATGGAAACTTCATTAGCTGTGCTGCAACTCAAATTCTCCCAAAAGATTCCTGCCGTCGAGGAGACGTCGTTAAGATCACTCTGACCGCCATGTCGTACAAATGGAATCGATCCATTGCTACCAGTAGAAGTTGAAGCGTCCTTGAAGAGAGCAGCGTTGCCCCAAGCAAACAGTGAGCCACCGAGAATCCAAGAGGAAACAAGTAGAAATCTCGTTGTGGTCAAGAGAAGTCGTCCATTCTTGCTGGACGAAAGTGTCATTGGATTGATGGATAGATTGTTCTTTGAGTACAAGTGATACGGTAGTCTTATCTGATAGCTATTGCTGAGGCCTTGCTAGCTAGATAGCATTGACCAGAGCAAATGCATGAGCTCTACCTGATGAACGCTACGGTGCTACTAGCTAGTACCCAGATACCTTTAAAGTGCGTTACAAAGTAGTAGACGAAATGACAAGGCGAGTGACAATCCCCAGCTGTCATCGTCCTTGTCTTCTTGTCTTCTTGGGGTTCTGTTCGAGACAATATCTTTTGGAAGCTCGCCGACGAAATAAAAAGTATCTTTTCCTTCGTTTTCAGCATCCCCACTGGCTTACGGATCGGACAACCAAACCATGAACCACACGGCGTTTTTAGCTCCCGGAAGCTAGTAGGCCCAACCCTCCCTCAGCCGCATTTGGAAACTGACGTCTGAATGCGGTATTCCAAGATCAGATGATCCAGTACTGGAGGGCTGTTCCTCCATGTCCAGAAAGCCGCTGTTCAGAGTTCAGAGCTGCATTCTGGCAATGAATCCAAAACAGAGAAGGCAGGCAGAAGAAGCAAAGCAGAAAAGCCTACCAAAAGGCAGCAACTGACCAAAAACTTGACGGTACTCGTAGTAGGCGGAAGCAGGGCTGTTCCATCATGTCGTCAGTTTCCAACTTACCCACTGGCTTCTTCTATCCTGGCAAGTAGTAGACAGTTTGAGAGTTTGAGCTCCATCACCCATCGTGGATGTCAAACCAAATCTGCAGCAGAGAAAAGAGGCCGGAAACTGACCAAACCTGACGACTCGGAGCGAGCCTCCAGCGAGAGGAACCATTGCGCGTAAACGCACAAATCTAGATTACGAGTTTCCGGTGCCGGTACAGGTAAATATCCCAGCCAAACAAACAAAAAATAAATAATGCCCCTCCTACGATGTAGCCAAGAGGCAGATGCTCGTGGTGCGGAAGCAGTCAATGTTCTGCTCTCAGGGTGGTCGAGTAGCTAGGATCTAAAAGCTCTGCTACATGGCTCTCACTGAGTGTTTGCTATGGCTTTTGCAAAAATTGGTCCCTGGTACTTTCCAATGAAGTCGGGAGAAGACGAAGCCGAAAGGCAGCCTCGTTGTGATCAAAAGCGCTTTCATTGGCACTCGCACTATCAACTCTAAACTAAAGCGCTTTCACTGGTACCAGGTACCGGTACCACCAGTACTAGCTCTCCTACGGTACCGCCTACCGGTGAAGCCTTTTGGAAAGTTACAAGCAACATCATCCCGTGAACCGCGAACCCTTCGCCCCTTCGCGTACTGGCTAGAATGCTAAGGTTGTAACAGCTCAGGAGGCCGATCCTCGCCCTATAATCTTTTTCAAAAGGATGGCTATTAGAGGTTCACCGTCGATAAAAAGCATCTTGTTGCCCTAATTCATTTGCCTGCTTGGAGGCACGATGAACAAATTGTTGGCATAGACTCAATAACATAATAATATATATCGACATATCGACACACTTTTCCAACCTACCAGGTGTCTATGCGACTCCTCAGTGACTCCCATCATTGTCCGAGATCCCCCTGGAATTCCGAATCAGTGTGATTCAATCACAGTTAGAGAAGGTTGTATGGAGGGAGAGTAGGAGTTGCTGCGCCACAAGATCATAACGTGAATATTTGGTCATGGGTTGGAGTTAACAGGCTCGAACACAGAGTTCCAGCATTCTCATCAGGGAGCAGCGAGGCTGACATTGCAATTTAATCGTCCTGAGAGTTGCTATAATATTGTATCTTCGAGGCTGTAGCGGTACCGTCCGAGCCAAACGCTGGAAGCAGACCAAAGACAACGATACCCATTGAACGGACGGTGTATCTCAATCCTGCATGTGAAGTCTTCTTACCACGTATGCATAGCTCTCATTTGACCATTGTAACCCTGTGCCCCTCAGGTGTTATTACTGCGGCTACAAGAGGCATCTCAGAGTTAATTCTAAGCTGGACATTATACTGTAGATTATACCTGGTAGGCTTTATGGCTACATCAGCTCTACACTATCGGTAAAACATCTAAACATCTGGACATACAGCAAGGTCATAGCAACATAGCAACAACGACACAAGGGAGCAGAGGAAGTAGAAAGACTGCACATTGCTTCAATTAAGTTCTTAGAGACAGGCATCGTCGTAAGAGACACTCTGTAAACAGTACTTCCACACAAGATCCTTCCGCAAGTTGATCGTGGGGTATTCGCTCGTGATAATGGAACGTGTGCGGGGAACTGTGGGAACAGCCTGGGAACTGTTGCCTCTGCCTCAATTGCCGAATGGACGAAGATAGCTGTGAAGATCTTTCTACTAGCTAGTACGGCTGTACTTGGCCGGGAGGCTGGACGCTCCCGTTTTTGTGGCTTCCGTTTTTGTGGCTTCGGTTTTTCTTTCACAATTTTTCTTCCTCGCCACACGAGGCTCATTTTCTGCTCTTCCCTCTCTCCACAATCAATCTCACAACGATGAGCACTGCATTTGCCCCCATGTCGTCTCCTCTGGAACCCATGAACGTCGTTCAAGCCGAGAAATTGACTCGCAAGAGCATCAAGAAGTACTTTCCTCTTGGCCCCATCATGGCCAAGGGCAACAGCAACCCCATTACGCTGCACTCCGTCAACGAAGAAGTCTTTCCTCGTCTCTGGTCACTCATGGCAGAGGTCATGGTCGTCGAGGGCGAGTTGCCTCGTTCCGTCAAGGAAGAAATCGCCCTCCTCGTCTCCACCAAGAATCATTGTCCCATGTGCTGCACTGCGCATCGAATGATGGGAACTGCTGCCAAGCGCGCCGAAAAGACCAAGGATCAGGAAAAGATTGCCCGTCAAGAAGCCCTCTTCAAGGCTGCCATGGCATACGCCGAGAAGCTCATTGAAGATACCATGAATGCTCAACCCGATCAAGACCTCAATGGATACGACAGTGTCATGGAGATTTGCAGCACCAATCTGGCACCCGCCAGCAAGACGCTAGAAGAAGAACAAGACCAAGGTCCCCTCACAGCAGCTGGCAAGGCCGAAGTGGCCATGGTGGTCGTGCTCTACTTTCACATGAACCGCATCATCTCGGCAGTGCTGGGTGAGCAAATGTCGGCCGCCATGTTTAGCGTCCCCGAAGGAGCTGCCAAAAAGATGGAAAGCCGAAGTGTCATGTCTGTTGTTAACAAGATGATGGCTCCTGTCCTGTCGGGAGGCATGAAAGCCAAGCGCAAGCCCGGTATCACATCCTCTCTTTTCCCCGAGGGATCCAGCTGCCTCGAGTTCTTGCCCGAGCATCTCAAGGGCGCCGAGCTTGCGGGTGAAGAACGAGCCAACGCCCTGTCCCGACTCTATGTGTGGAGTGTGATCTATGAGCAACAGCTCGTCAATGAAGGAATCATGACTCCAGAGATCCTTGCCGTTCTGGACGACCCCGAAAACTGTCCTCCTCCTCGCATGCGAACACACCAAATAGCTCACTGGGCTACTGTGGAGATGCGACATGTCGTGGGTGAACTGGAGGGAGAAACCAGTCGAGCCATTGCCAATGTCCTCTTGTTGGTCAGCTACACACCCCAGAGCGTATTTAACAGTATTCACTGGAAGACATTGAACAAGGCTTTGGGGGGACCCACTTCCAAGGCACTGGCCATCTGGTGGTCTCTGCGATTGACCTTCAAGAAGAGTCAAGGTCTGCGATCACCGTTGGACTTGTCCGCAGGGTCCGGATGGTAACTAACGGAAATGAAAGAAGTGCCCTCATCATCGGTTGGTTGAAAGGAACAAGCAATACACAGTAATTACATGAAATAGCATTACGTTTTACATCTTAACGCACTCTTACCTAGTATTAATAGCTAGCTAGCTAGGCAACCATGCACTGCCCATTATGAGTTAGACACCACTTACTTGATAGCCATAGACCAAGCATAGTTGCTTGATTGGCACTGCCGCCCTGGTGACTGCAAGCTGTGAAGCGTACTCTGATATAACCGACGGACGATGCTGTCTGACTTGGGATGGTAAGAATGCTTGCTCTTGGCCGGATGATATGGAGTGATGGTACCGGTATGCGCAGGAGCCTGTAAGGGTGAAAGGGCAGTCGAGGGCAGATGAATCATCCTACTTTTTTCAGCTCAGAGCTGCCGAGGAGCCCAAGCTTGCTATGGCTTGACTGCTGAATTCAACCAAGCTACACAGAAATGCAACGAACCCATCAGTGCTTATTACAACAGATTCCGTGGGACAAGAGCCTGCTACAGTGCGATGTTGGTCCCAGGTCCTTGCCCTGGAATTTGGTTGTGGAAGTTGCACGGGTGAACATGCTTGCGCGAAATTCGTTGGCCAAGTTGGTTCATTGGCCAAGTTGGTACCCACAGCTGCGTAGAAGATGATTCATGCTCAGGTTTCAGTGTTCAAATGGTGTTGTCAGCTCTAGCTAGCTAGACAAGTAGGCTACCGGTGCCATCCCCACCCTCCGGGTTGTCCTCGCCTCGTCCTCGTCGTTGCGCAGCATGTGTGCGTCCTGGTTCAGAACTTCACGCCAATCTGGATTGGCGTCAGCGCACCTCGGCTTTTTTAAAAGAAACATTGTTTAAAATTCAAAACGAGAGGGGCAGGCGATTTTCGCGCCTTTCGGTGGCAGATTGCCACTTTTTCGTGCTTTTTGTTCCGTGTGAGAGCTCGAAAGGTTTGTTTCTCTTCATTTCACTGCATTACTGTGTTGCTGTGGCTTGTCATTAATTTGTATTTTGGATTGCTTCACCTCACTGTCCAAAGAAAGATGGCGACTGTTGTTGACAAGGAGAACCAGGCCAATGTGGCCGATGTGGCTGCCGACAAGAAGATGCCAGCGGGCAAGAAGCAGACGGCAAAGGATGCCTCAGAGAACCTCTCACCCTACGACCGTCGTATCCAAGAGATGAAGGCTTCCCTAGACGCTGCTCGTGCAGCGCATCGGCAAGCCAAAGGAAGTGACAAGGACCTCCCCATGCTACAGCACACATACGACATCGACTCGCTCTGGAAGCGGTACAGTATCGCGGAGCGCATGGGCGACGACTGTGACACGGAATTGGAGGAACTGGAAGAGAGCGAGGTCAAGAAAGGCCTCGGCATGTTGACACAAAAAGAAGTGGATGAGAGTATCTTTGCCATGATTTTGCCTCGATCTTGCTTTGAGCTGGAAGACACCCTGAGAGATGACCTCTACTACGCAGATCCGCGCAACGGTCCACGCGGCAGCGGCATGATCTCTCTCAACACTTACTCTAGCTTTTGCATGTACCCAGTCATCAAGAATCACTTTGCATTGGCGTCGAAGGAAGTGAACAAGGCGGAGAAGGCGGTCAAGGCAGCCTCCAAAGCTGGAGCCGCCAAGGAGGCTCTCGTCAAAACTGTGGCCGCTGTCATGGCCTGCCACAGCGTCGATCACTGGCGTCATGATACCGAGGAACCCGAAGAAGTAGTAAAGTATGCCAAGAAATGCGTCGAGGTTGTCAAGAAATTACTCTGGTTCACCGACGCCGAGTTGGGATGGACCGACCCCTACTCTCGCAAAGCTCTTTTGCACTATCTCCGGAACTTGGCCATTGACTGGATGGACACTGCCGACTCGTTGGACTACGAAAATTTCAAGAAAATGAACTTCGAAACCGCCAAGAATGGCAAAGGGCTGGGACGCCCATTGACTATGGCAGCAGGACTTGCCGACACCAATCCAGCGCCCACGAAGAAGGCCAAGACGTTTGCGGCTGCCGCTCCCGCTGCTGCTTCTCAGTCCACTGGAACGGCTACTCTGACGACTTACTTTGATGGTCTTCAATCCAAACTCAATGATCGTGTCAAGACACTATGTCAGCTGAAAATCACAAATCTCTCCAACACGAAGAAAGTGGAACATGTCGTCTTGTCGGGAGCCTCGGATATGAAGAAGGTGCATCAGCTAGTCGCGTACCTTGCTGGAGTCAACCCAAACTTTCAGTATCACTCTCAAAAGGGAAGCTACACAAAGGCAAGTCATTTGGATGCTCCCATGAAGCTCTCGTTTTGGGTATTTAGTGACCTGATCCTTGTTCGTCAATAAATTCTCACACACTCTCTCTGTTCAGGGCTGCTACTTCGTGCTAGAGACTCCTGGATACAAGCCTTGCTGGATTGCTCCGCCCGATGTGTGCAAAACTGCTGCGAAGGCAGGAACTGACGCTGTCCTTGACAAGTCCATCAAGATTGTGCAAGTCTTTCAAGCCCTCAACTGTGGCCGCAATGACGCCTTTCTCTACGACTCAGATCTGGCTCGCACGATTGTCACTTCCAGTAGTGCCTTGACCTTTGTGACTGCAAGTGGGGAGCGATATGCGATTCAGCCGACTGTCATTGCTCCCACCAAATGCAGCCGTAGCAAAGCCATCGCAATGCCGCGTATTGTCACGTATGATGAGAACCAGCGCAAGAGTGCCTTTGGATTGACGCTGACTCAAGCAAAAGCTGTGATGCAAGGCGATCGCCAAGATAACCAGAACTTTATCGTTTGTGTCACCACCACGGCGGCAGAGGTCAAGAAGTATTGCTTCAACTTTTGGAAGAAGCCTATCTGCGAAATGGACGGTAGTGGTATCTTTGCATCGCGGTTTGGCTTGGGCAAGTCTGAATGGGACGTGAAGCATGTTCAGTCGGCTGGACCACCCGATGGCTATGCTGCCTCCAAGTGAGCAGCAGAACAGCATCTTTGGGATGAGAGATGCTTCCGATTACACCTCGGAGTCCATTGAAAATGAAGAAAATATATACTGTACTGGTAGCTATGTTTGCTGCTCAACGAAGGAGGCCTTTGATCACATGGGATGTATGTGCTTGTAACAATTCCCCAACACCATAAACGATAGAATTACGATATGACGCGACTTGACTGACTCTCCTTTCTAATTTAGTTCTCACCTAGAATTTCTATCAGTTTCTCACTCCCTGTCCTGCTCTATCTAGCAGCCAAACGACGATGCATCATCCACTCGACTTCAAGTACCGTACTTTATGCTTGTTCCGATTCCGATGACATTCTTTGAGAGTAGAAGTGGCAGCGTACAAATCAGGGCAGAGCCAGTAGCCTTCTAGTAGGGTGTAGCAAATGCATGTAACAGATCCAGTACACCAAAGGTTCCGGGTGGCTTCCATGGAGGAAACGCACCTTGCTCGGGTTGAAGCACTCTCCAATGAGAAGGATGCTGGAACAATAAAACAGCGAACCCAGAGGCTCAATCAATCGATACCATAGGTACGTTTTAAAGTTCTAGTTGATAGCTCGTACCTTTTTCAGCTATTTGGCTCGTTCCATTTTACAAGCATGAACCTCCCCAAACCCGAAAACATTGTACGTTACTGTCATTCCTACTAGTATCATGAAACCACGCCACTGTCCAAGATACCGGTATCGTTCCATCATTGAGCAGAGAGCCATTCCTTTCAACTGGCGATCACTCGGCGCAGGCCTCAGGGGAGGCTAGGAGTAGCCTCCTGGACACGATGTCGCTCCTTACTCGGCTTACAAAACTGGGCCAGGTCGTGGTCAACCGACTCCTACAAGACTGGCGCAAGTTCAGAATCTGATGGCTGCAATAGGAAATCTTCCTCGTTGTAGTGAGTAGGGGATCACCTTTCGAAGACCCTATCCGAGTGTTGAGAATAGGAAAGTTGTTTTGCAGATTGATTGTTCAGTCCTGTTCTAGCAACCAAGCTCCGTGTGGTGTGAGCATGAAAGCCCCAATATCAATGTTCTTGTCACTGACCGTAGCGGGAGTCATCAAGGCAGCTTCGCCTTCCACGGCAAGACCCAATCCAACAACCTGCTTTTTCTTCAAGGAAGAGCGGATTGTCTCTGCTGCCACACTAGCAACCTCATCAATGCCACCCTTGAGGTCCACCGAAAAGTCCTTCTCGTGCAATTCTGAATGCTTAATCACAACTTCTCCAAAGATTGCCACAAGCGCCGACGATTCTGGTTCCAGACAGGAAGCAAAGGATTGAATCCGTTTCTTGTCCACACTCCTGGCCATGAGTGCCTTGGCCGTACCACCAATGGTGCCGCCCACAGCCCCCACCGTGGCACCGGCAAGCGCCCCCAAGCCACCCCCAATGGCAATACCAAAGGGTCCCAGAAGCGACAGTGCAATGCCGCCAATAGAAGCCCCCACAATGGTGCCTCCGTAGCTTCCGGCAATCAAACCCTTGAGTGGACCATTTTTTCCAAATTCCGAAATTTCCACTTGGCAGTTTGTGTTCTTGGTGATGATGAGAATGTTGGAACAGGAAATGTCTCGTTCCAACAGTGTCAGGGCTAAATCTCCAGCTGTAAACGCTGCAGTGTCAGGGTTGGGGAAGGCCACAAAGGCAATTTGCAACGGTATGCGCTTGTACATGATGTTGTGTTGAACTGATTACAACAGTGTTGGACAGGTTGTTCTGGTTTTTGTGTCACTCGCTCCACTCGCCTGTGATGAGTGTGATGTCCGGAAGAATCGCCAACCACGGAGTTGGCTGGGTTAGAATTTTGTTGTGGTCGTCCCTCTTTTTTGGTCCTTTTTGTAGGGTTAGGGTTAGCTGAGTTTGCCTTATGCACCGAATTACGTCTCCTGAGACGACGCACCTTTTGGTTACCCCCTCAGTTGCACTCTGAAATCGATTTGCCGGCGTTTACTGTGTAAATTAGAGTACCTGCACTTCAGTTGCAGAATCAACGGTCATGTGTATCGTTAAGTAACAGGTTCTCTTTCGAAATATTTAGATCGATTCGTGGATAAAGGAACCGTTGAAGTTACTAAGGTTAAGGATTTACGAAAGAATCGAGGAACGAATTGTTGAAGGTGCAGCACTGACTTCTCTCCCTCATTGCATTCCTATGGCAAACAGGAGAGAAATCCAAGCTTGGCTGACAAGAGTGGTGGTGTTGGATCGATCGAACGGCTGGTACGGTACGAATCAAGAGTGTTATTGAAGGTGCAGATTTGAAAGCCATCCCTCATTGAATTTCTATGGACTGCGGGAAGGCAGTCAGATCTCGGCCGTCAACAGGTGAGTTGTTTTATTTATTCGAGTCGATCGTTCGCCCCTCTATTATCTCTATTATCAAGCCTCACTCAAGCCGTCCTTCCCCGGTGCAGAACAGAAAGCCATCCCTCATTGAATCCTATGGACTGCGGGAAGGCAGTCAGTTCTCGGCCCATGACGGCCAAGTTGGTGCAATTTGAAAAACAATGGTAAGTCTCCGGTCGTCTGTAGTTGAGCACAGAAAACAAAACTCATATCTATTTGTTGTTTTCTCTGCTGTACTACTGACAGCCGATGAATTACCATTGTCGCGGTCCAACGAACGATTGATCGCTCCGAATAACATGAGGAAGAAGAGGCTACCACTACGAAGGTATGTGTACGGAGGAAACTGTTAACTCCAGCCCTACCAACAGCCTGAACGGATCGTCGTCGAGTCATTGAATGGCAACAGCCGTCAAGCGAAGGAGGCTACACGAACACACAAGCACAGTGGAGAGTGGATCCTCGGACTGGATTCATCCCTCCTTGTTATTTCCTAGTGGTTTGGTGGTGATTTCTGTGTCGATATCCATTTTCCTGCGGGAACAGTGCTCGTAGCGCCTGGCTTGATACTATTCCTGTACTCATTGTAATGGTGAGGTAATGGAGCGTAGCGGGCAAAGCCGAAGCTGAGTGTGTTCGGTACTGTTGCCGATGTAACTATACGGTAGCTAGCTGCGATGGCTGTGCAATACACGGCTCTTAGCCTTATTCGCGACTCGATCCTAGATAGGGTTTGAGTTCGACTCATGACGTAGTCCTTCGCGAATAGTCATTGAGACAGGGTTCTCATGACTGCTAGTCATACTAGGTTGTCGATGAAACATCGCTCTAGATATTTAGCCGGCGTGGAAAGCTTCCACACTACTAGACAGCTACTAGCTGAAGTTTCCACGTGTTCCGGAAATGGACCGTGGAGTACGTAGAGTTATTGCCATAACCTACGATATCACACTTCGAGGCCTCCCACGGGAGACCAACTTCAATGAGCTTCACAACGATCTCTCTCATGGATTAGTTTTCGTAGCTTTCTAATCTCTCTCATAACTTTCATTCTCTCAAACTCAAAACACTCAAAAGATCTTTACACTAGCTTTTAGCGTAGTGCAGCTGGATTGACAATGTTTGGTTGTGCATGTATTCGTCATAAGGATCCAATGCAAGGTACCGGTAATGGAGTGTAGCCAGTAAAGCGGAACCTGAGTGTGTTTGGTACTGTTGCCACTGTCACGGATTGATGTAACTCTACGGTAATCGTGGAGACACGTAGGATTACTACCGCAACCTACTCTATCACACTTTATAGTCTCCCGCGGGAAGCCAGATCTACGATCTCTTGATGATGATCTCTCTCATGGATTAGTTTTCGTAGCTTTCTAATCTCTCTCATAACTTTCATTCTCTCAAACTCAAAATACTCAAAAGATCTTTACACTAGCTTTTAGCGTAGTGCATTTTGTTAACAAAATCAATAGCTTTCAGCTACCCTCAACCTATTCCTTCACCATGAAGATTGCTCAAGGAAAGCATGCGTTCACCAACTTCGAGAAACAGTTGCGTGACAAACCCATTCTTCCTCTCGTGGACAACGCCGAAGACGCCGAGATCGACGATTCTCGTGCAACCACCTACAAACTTCGCACCGTTCCTGCAGATGCAAACAGTGCCAAATATACCTTCAAGGTAGCCATCATCAATGGTTCCAACACTCCGCGTCAGACCATCAAGTGGGCTACGAATATGGAGAAGGTCTTCGTTGGACTCAACCTTGCCAATGCCGACGACAAACTTCGCAGAGCTGGAAGAGTGCCTACGAAGCTGGGTGTGCAGGCCATCATGCAGTGCGTCATCACGTCCTATGACAAATTGCTGTGAACGCAATTCCTCCATGCGATGTGACTTCTGGAGAAACCGAAGTCCAATTCCAAGCTCGTGTCCAAGCCGCATGGGACGGTGCAGCGGAACCCGCTCTAAGCGATGCTGACATCACCTTTGGAATCAACGCGGTATCGAAGCAGCCTGCCCTTACAAGGCTCTCGAAAAACAGAAACGCTTCATGCGTCGCAAGATGCGTAAGCCTAGCGAAATGACAACTCGCGCCTACATCAACAACCTCACTCGGATGAATAC